TAACAACTACATCTCCCAGGATTCTTTTGAGAAAGCCATGATGGTTTGAAGTGGAATAATACTGCTTTAAATGTCTAGCGCAGATAGGGCAAGTTGGTCTGATCTAGCAGGACTCTTCTTAAGGAGAAGACTAAACCTCTGCTGATTCACCTTTCAACAGAAGAAGCATTAAAAGAACAGATTCATCTCTTTTCTAGGCACACCATAGCACAGGAGTGGGGGAGGTTTCTCTGCACGAAGGCTGCATAAACTTCTGCTAGTTGTGGATTTGACCAGAGGGAAAATAGGTGGAGCAATGAATTATTTCTTTTAACCTTTATACAGGTGGCTAGTTTTTACACATGCTCACACACTGCTGTCTTCCGCATCCAGGCAAAAACAGTCAAGGAGGGTGAGAAGCAGGCTCTGGTAAGAGTCCTGAAGGCCAGATACAGAGGCCTGGAAAGCCACTCCCCATCCCCAGGTTTGAGATTCCCCAGCAGAACCATAGGGACACCTATGTACATACTGAGCTCTGCAAACAAGGGGTACTTGCTGCTCCTTAGGTCAGAAATTGTCAAGATAGACACAAGAGCACTGAAGCAGCATTACTGGATCAGGAGAAAGTCCATATAGCCTGCTGTGTGCTTGCAAGGTTCCAAAGAACCATCACAGCAAGGTTGATGCCCACCCCCCTTGTCATGTTAGGGCAGGGATAGTCCTTGACATTTTGCTGCCTGAGGCAAATTGACAAGCTGGTGCCCTCCCCTCGTGGTGTGTCCAGAAGCTGATTAGATTGGTTGTGGACTCTTTGCCCTGAGGGAGAGCAGGCAAGTTTAAGACTTGCATGACAAGGCACTGCGGAACATGTAGCTTTGACTTCCATCAGAAATGGATTGGTCAAGGGGGTCAAGGGAACGGCTAGGGCTATATGTATCTGCTATCCAAGGTGATTCCCTCAATCTGCCTAATATTGGTAGGTCTGGCTCTGTGCATTGGTAATATTACTGGCGGACTAGAAATGAAGGAGACAAAAGCTATGGTGAACTGTGCATGCAGCGTGCACTGTACACAATCTGGAAATAAATAAAAATGGGGGGTTCCTAATGCATTGGTCCCACTTCAGAATGGAAGCCATGGTGATTTGGAACTTCAAAATCTGAGAAATCTAGATGAAAAATATTTCGGAAGCATCCTCACAAACCCAATAACTAGATCCTTCTCTCTCCTCCCCCAGCTTTATCATTCCCTCTATTTCCAATGTTCAGGCTGTGAGCACCATTGATGACGCAGGCAAAAAGGTGCCACCTGCACGCATAAGACAGAGGGATGCATTAGCAGACTTGGAGAAAGTCCAAGCTTTTTGCAGCACCACCACTATACGGGGGGGGGGGGGGAGGGACTGGAGAGACCCCAACCCCCAAAAAATAACAATAGTGAGGGCAGAGTATGATTAGTGGCTACAGGTTCATCGTTTGGGAAGGGGGCTGGAAAATGAAAGGAATGTAAATGGAATATTCTATAAAACAGCACAGTTGTCCTGAAGCCTCAACAAGAGCACTCCACACCACAGCTCTCTGTAGCTGTGTAAGAAACTAAAGTGCCCTTTACTTACCGCAAACAGCGAAGTGGTTGTCTTCCTCTGACACAGGCACAAACACATATCGATTTCCACTGAGATAGGAAATTCTGAATTTTCTTATCCTGAGAACTCAGTATGCCAAGAACCTCAATGACTGGGCAAGTCAGCTTTTATTTTTTTAAAAGAAGTCACATCTCACTTCTAACTTGTTAGCTGGGGGTGGAATAGAGATAAGTTTTGGCTTTAACATGTGAGTCACTGCTGTAAGAGGATATGAAGTTCAGGCTTGTGTCTCAGAATCAATTGATTGCTTCTGCTGTACATTTCAGAGAGGTTCTTGAGGATGAAAGAGACTGGAGGGGGTGGCAGACTGTTCCACCAGTTGTTCAGCGAAAACTGGACAGTGGAGAGGAACTTTTAGGGTTGTAGATGGGAATGCATCTTTATTATTAAAGAACATAGGGGGAAACATCCCAATATAATGAAGAAAATACCAGCAGAATGTGAGCCTGTTTGGGGGTTTATTTCTTTTCAAAGAGGGTTTTTGGGGACAACTGCCTCATCGGGTGCACACTGAGGAGTAGCTGAGAGATGTAAGACTGATGGACATGTCTTTTCCCGTACTTTTGACAACAGCACCGTTGCCTTGGGATAGATATGGAATCAGGAAGCTTCAGCTCCCCAGTTGTTGTTGAGCTCCAGCTATCACAGCCAACACACAGGGATGATGTGAGTTGGGCCTATGTGGAAGGTCAAAGGTTCTCCACACCTCGCTCTCTAGGACACTCAACCTCTTAATTCCTATTCCCTACTGCAGGGATGGGGAAATTCTGGCCCTCTAGATCAGGGGTCGGCAAGGTTTACCTCGCCTGGGCTGGTTCACTCCAGTGGATATCTCTCTGTGGGCCGGACTGTGCGCGTGAGCACACATACCATTTCTGGCACCAGAGTCCCCACGCACTGCCAGTTTAGCGCAGCGCGTGGGGACTCGCCGAGTGGGCGGCTTGGTTTGGGGGCAGCTCGTGGACTGGTTAAATGACCCCGAGGGCTGCTTGTGGCCCATGGGCCTTAGGTTGCCTACCCCTGCTCTAGATGCTTTTGGGGCTCAAACTCTCATTAGTCTCAAGTTAGCACAGCCAGTGGGCAAGGATGATAGGAGCTGTGGTCCAGCAATGTCTGGAAGACCACTAGTTTCTCATCCCTGCACTAGAAACTCCCCACCCCCCACCAAATCTCATTTTCAAGACACAGCCTTCTGGTATAGGCACCTGATTGGACCACAAACAAGCATACAAAGCCCATTTGTCTTTAGGATGCACAAGACATACATGTCCTCGAGGAGAATTGCCCTCATTTGAGGAGCCTGTATTCCCACTGTTGTTCTGCTGGAACACGATGAAGAGAAAGGTCGCCGTTCTCATTCATGACGTCTTCCTTTTAGAAAAGTCTAAGAGCTGCTTAATGAAAATCGTGCTTAAACATCTGCTCTCCCTTCCTGCTGAGCGTCGCTGCTGCCAAGCATGCTCGGAACAGTGGTGGAACACTTCAGTACAGCAGCTCCACTCATTTCTTTCCTTGTAAAAGCTGCTGCTCTCCCATTGAAAACATGGAGAGAGGATAAATTCAGAGCTCAATCAGCAGCCATTGACCAGAAGTCACAAAATAGGAAAAGGTGAATGCAGGCAGGAATTTATCATACATCCAGGCTTGTTTTTTAATAGAAGGTCCCAGGTGCCAGTCTTTATCACTAATCAATCCTTATGTTCACTGGGCGATAGTCTGAGTCAATTAGGTTCTCTGCGGTTCCATACTTTTTGTCCCTACCGTTGCCTTTGTACCACTTTAAATTCTGCACTTTTAACTTTTGTTTTACTTGTAAGCTGCTGTGTACAGATATTTGCTCATAAGAGAGACATAAACAAGTCATAAATGAATACATAAATAAAAATAACAATTAAAGAGAGAAAATGGTAGAGAAAAGGCAGCATTTTTACAGAATATGTTTTGGTAGGGGGAACAGGTGGGTGAGCTCTCACCACCTCAGGCCAAGATGCCTTGGAGGAAGTTGCTTGCACAAATAAAAAAATGTTGTGAACATACGAAGCTACTTGATACAGAGTCAGACCACTGGTCTATCTAGCTCACTATTGTCCACACCAACTGTTTCCCAGCCCTACACGGAGATGCTGGGCATTGAACCTGGGACCTTCAGTACGCAAGAAGGAATATAGGAAGCTGCCCTATACCAAGTGATAAATTTGGCCCATTTAGCTCAGTAGTATTGGGACTGGCAGCAGCTCTCCAGGCTTCCAAGTGGGTTCTCTCGCAGCCCTACCAGGAGATGCCAGGGATTGAACATGGGACCTTCTGCATGCAAAGCAGGTGCTTCAGCACTGAGCTATGACTGTCTAGTCACACATAAGAGTCTGCTGCGTAAAGTATTAAAAATGGAATCGAGCTTCAAGGGTTTCTATTCCACTTAATTCCTCTGCCTCCATTTGAGTGACTCTTTTAACAGACAAGCATGGTATTCCTGATCTAATGGCAGGAAGCAAAGTGTTAAAAGATGCATTACATCCTTTGCCAGCTAGCAGATAAAGTATGTGTCGTAAAACTTCCTAGTTCAAAAAAAGAACAAGAGGAGCCATCATTCAAGCTTATTACTGGAGTGGGTTAAGCAGAGGAAGAACACAGCACATTGTCTACCCAAGGACCACTTCTGGTTTCAAGAGTTTTGTAATTGTATCCCAGAAATAGGTACTTTGAGAACTGCGTCTGGACCCCAGTTAGTGCCCAACACTGTCAGCACCAGCCACTGTTAGATTATCATAACATACTGTAGGCAGCAATAGGCACATTTATAAAGCAAAGGGTTGCAGTTCTTCCAAGCTCATCTGGAAGTTGGCTAAAAGTTTAGGCAAATCCCCTTCCTACTCCTTCATCTGCAAGAATACGCTACTTGTAAAAGTAGAAACAAAGCAGCTTCCAGTGTTAAATAAAAGGTCTTCCCTGTGACTTCTGAAGAATAAAATAATATAGAACTGTTTTGATATGATTCAAAGTTTCAGTTTCCAATATAAGGATACCTCCAAGAACATCTAAGTGTACCTCCTTGCTGCTTGTCATTCCATCGTCCCAAACACATACACAGATCAGAAGAAACCAGCATATAAGCAAACATGTATACAGTGGTACCTCGGGTTAAGAACTTTGCTTCAGAATGAGAACAGAAATCGTGCTCCGGCGGCACGGCAGCAGCAGGAGGCCCCATTAGCTAAAGTGGTGCTTCAGGTTAAGAACAGTTTCAGCTTAAGAACGGACCTCGGAAACGAATTAAGTACTTAACCCGAGGTACCACTGTAATGCCATATTATCTATTCCACATTATTAAGAGTGTGTTGGAACAGGATGGAATGACAAGCAGCAAGCAGAAATCTTTGTCTATGGAAAGCAGTACATGAGCCAATTACTGGAAAAAGAAAAATCACATAAGACTCACTGTAAGAGCAAAGCATTAATTCTCCCAGACAGTATGCTGAATACATATTAGGAACTTGACAACAATGCTATGCTGAAAGAAGTTTTCTCACTTGAAGGAAGCCTATTCTGGTGGACAGGGCTTAATGTAGGCATGCATCAAGGATCCTCACCCGGTGTGTCATAAGAGCCAATGTATAGAAAGTAATCAGGAAAACTACAGAACTGAAGGTAAGCTATTACTTTGCAAACATGCTGGCTAGCAAGTGATGATTCAACAGCAACCATTTCATTTTTTGCAATTACTTTTGAGTCCACAATTAATTTATGCTATATGCTTATGTTTTATTAAAAAGGTTCATAATACATCAAGTCCATAGATAAGGGAGGGAAAGAGAAATTTCAACACAATATACTACAAAATAAATTTGCAATTCAGATGAACCAGCAGCATGTTGCCCAACATTAGATTCCTCCTCCTTTAAAAAGGCTACATCTTATTTACAGACTCCCTTAAGACACTGTCACTATTCTACATCCTTACGTTTTAAAATATTCCTAATGATTTATAGTAACAAGTAGGAGGTTCTCATTTGTAAACATTTTCAATCCCAGGATTTATCTCTTACGTTAGGATTTAAAAACAGAGTAAAAACTTTGGAAGCATAATGATAAAATATTCAAGATCCAGGAAAGTTGTGGACGTTAATTTCACCTTAAGGAAAAATTTGTCCTTAAGCAGCACTTCACATTAGCTACTGAAACAGGTACAATTCCCAGCTGCACATTGGTGCATTTCAGCTGTGCTTGTGTGCTGAATCCTGTGTAGCAGGTTCCAGTGAAATCAAGAAGTGATTTTGGATCAGTGCTGCCACCAGTCTAATCAATAAAAGTGGCAATTTGTTCAAAAGATTTGTGCATTTGTCCATGATTACACATGCATTCGTAGCTATACTAAGAAACTCATTTATCGACAAAGACACAGGTTGAGGAAGAAGAGCAATGGCTATCTGGCAAGATTATGGAAAAGGTGACAGTATGAAATGTTAAAGATATTTAAAAGTATCAGTTGTGAGAGGGCAACACAAATCAGGTACATTTATTAAAACGAACTGTGGGGGTGTTATCCACTCAAGTTTTAGTCAGAGCAGACCCACTGAAATTAACGGGTCTAAGCTAATCATGTCCACTAAATTCAATGGCCCTACTCCAAGTAGAACTAACAAACAGATACATTCCTGGGTCTCAACAAACAATGCACAAACATTTTTAGGACTGCCTAACGCTATTACCGAAATCTATGGTAACGCTGTCAGTGGTAATTCTACCACAGTTCTTGGAAATTAGGCAAAACATTCCATTGTTGAGGAAAACCATTTCTTGGAAGGGGATAACTGAATTAAGAGTCAAGATTAGGGTAGACTCTATACTTTGTGGGGAAAGGTATCCTACATTAAAAGCCACCATTCAAAAATGTGCTAACAGGTGGCCTGAAGTTACAAGCTCCTGGACAGGACTCAATGCATCCTTCCTTCTCCATCAAAAAGTATACGGAGCCACTTTCTCAAGCACCTGGTGTTCTGTTTAACCATGAAGTGTAGCCAGCATACTGTCAGTCAAGGCTCCTGAAGTTGACCCCCCCCCCATCTAAAAGACACAGGAATAAAATCAATTTCAAAGAACTTCAACCATTTTTGATCCAGACTGTTGGCGAAGCTCTGTTCAACTTTATGAATTATCTAGATGTTCATTTCAAAGCAGTTCTAGGCAGGTTACTAAGCAAGCAAATGTTTCCCAGGAGCTCTCTGCAGACAGATTGTGAAAATTGATTCCAGGGTAGTCCTGTTGAGGCTCCCTTCTAGTCTTCCCAACTCTGCCAGGTCTTGAGGCTCATGAAGTCAGAGCTGTAATTTAAAAACTAAAAATGCTACTGGAATGGGGGAATGATGCAACCCCATCTTGTCCCATTTCAAACACCGACTATTAGACTTTACAGTCTGGGGCTTCGCTCCACCTGGAAACATCTCCTCCTTGCCTGCCACACTGCAGCGGCGACTTTTAGTCCTGCTTCCCTTCCCGCCATTGCCGCGAGCCTTCGTTCCATGCCACGTAGACAAAAAGAGCGAGCACGACGTGAACAGCTACCACAGCAACTATTGCGGCATAAAAATAGCTGTCTCTGCTTGACATTCCAAAGGAACCTAAAAGAACAAAGGGGGTGGGAGAGAGAAGAAGCATTAAAACTTATAGGAAGCCAGTAAAAAAATCAGCCAATGCCTTCATATTTTCTAGTGACCAAATTATTTAAATGATAAAAAGATTGTATGATTAGGGCAGAAGTGGCTAAAGTAAAACTATGTCTTCCTTTTAAGGCCCTCGGCTTCTATAAAACTCTTCCAGTGTCATAAATATGTCCTTGATTTGAGGGTTTTCTATGGTTCACACAACAGCTGCAACCTAGAGAAGATTATCAGTGCTTGAGTCTTGAATCCTATCCTCATTTACAAGACAGTAAGCCTAATTAAACTTACTTCTGAGTACACATGCAAAGACTGTGCTGCAAGAATGCTTTTAGTTATGATAAGCTTCACTTATGAAGAAAGCAACACACACAGAGGTAAGTCATGTATATTGACATTCTTCCGTGATCAACATATGCAAACAAAATGGACTTCTTTACTCCATGCCAGCCTTCACTAACTTGGTGCCCCCAAGTGTTCTAGACTACAACACCCATTGGCTGATGCAAGTTGTAATCCAAACCATCTGGAGGGCACCAGGTTGGAGAAGACTGCCACACACCACCTCAGTTATATTCAATACCTTTTTCTGCCCATTAATAGCAGCAAACAGAAGCTCTGAAGTTAAGTTATGCAAATTTTAAAATTATTACTACTGGGAAGGGAGAGAGGGTACAACTTAGCAGCCCTACCAAAACATACACAAATATATCAGCCACGCCCTTATTTTCAGTGTTTATGCTCCGAACATTCAAGATGGGTTACAACAAATTTAAAAAAATGAACACAGGTTTTTGACACCAGCAAGATCACAGGCCAAGTGCCTGTGGGCTGCTGCTAAGTGGCAGGGCACCTTAGCAGTGGGTACCAGCCGTGGGAAAAAGCAGCCCCCGATAATTCGTGTGCCAAGGAACAACAGTCTGCCAATGGCACTACGCCAGCCAGGCAGAGAGGGAATCTCCTTGGGTGAAGTTATGCATGTTTTGTTAAAATGTTTTTGCTTGCAGTTAAAATTGTTTTTAGTACACACTGGGAGTATTTGCACTGAAGGTGTGGGATATAAATAATATAAAGAAAGAAATGTAGAGAACAGATTTTGCAGTGCTATTTGGAAAACATACATAAAAAGGAGAGACCACATATATTCCAAGAAAACAGATGTTACATTTCTGGGTACATTTTCGTGAGTATGTTTTTCCATTTCCAGAGTCTAAACCAGAGGATGACTCAGAGGACAGAGAAAATTTGTAAGCTGCTTCTGTTCAGCTATGTAATGACAACTGCCCTTTCATCCAATAAATTGTATTTGGAAATTTCCAAAACTCACTTTAGTAATTTAGGAGGAGCTCTGCTTGTGCCAATTTTCTGACTGAAAGGATAAGATAACTTCTGGTTTCTACGAGGAGCACTGCTCTATCTCCAACACAAAATATATATCTAGACACCACCAAAAAAATGGTTTTCCAACTTTTTCCCCTGTGGAGCACTGGAACATTGTTGAGGATCATAGAATCATAGAATTTTAGAGATGGAAGAGACCTTGAGGGTCATCTAGTCCAATCCCCTGAAATGCAGGAATCTTTGGAGCTCGAACACACAATCCCAAGTTTAAGAGTCTCGGGTTCTATCGACTGAGCTATAAGAAGCCACTTAGGGGTTTTTCAGCCCACAGTCCCAATTGTAATGCACTGTGCTAGATGCTTTTAATTGCATTTTTATTATTTCTTTTATTTTGTTAACATTGTAATATCATAAAAATACAATATAAGAAATGAAAGCAGCAATAAAAACACAATGAAAAATCAATATGAATATTTAATGCAATGGATGTCCTGTCTTCCAACTTCAGCTACAAATCCATTGACAAGTCATAGACAATTTTATGGGAGACACTGCCATAAATTGTTTTCAAAACAGGTTTTGCGAAGAATTTGGTTTCTACATTGCACAATCAATTTGGAATGGCACAGAAAAGCCTCCTCCTTCAGTGTTTTGATACTTTAACATCTTGACAAATGCTTCAACAAAATATTCAGTGATCGTTGCTATTATTCAAATCCTGAGAATACAAAACCCAAAGAAATGCTGCTTACCATATAACAATATGTAATTTAAAAAAATAATCCAAATAATTAATTTACTTTTAAGATAAAAAGAAGCAAAGATAACAAAAAGAAGCAGGTAGTAATAAAGAAAATTACCTTCAAATACGTATACCTTTGATGAGAAATACAGCCCAATGGGTAACATAATCATTAAAGTAGTGAAGAACAGGAGCGTTCTTAGGGTCGAAGCTAATGAAGTTTCATTTCTGCAAGAAACAAATCACAGTGTGAGAAACTTGAGCAGGGCCAGGCCCAACATATGGAACGTCCAATGTTCATTTAACATGGCATTTGTAGGATGGATGAGGTGCAAGGAAGACAGTTAAGAAAGGAAGGAGGCAAAACAGTGTTTGCTGAGAAAGCATGTTAGGAGTGTAACAACTGATAAGTGAAAATGAATAACTAAGCAGGCTCATACTGCAGTAATCAGAATGCTAAGAAGAAGGTAATAATACAATGTCTTGGTACTGTGCCATGAGGCATCTCTTGATCCCACCACACCTTGGGTGGACAGGGGATCCTGCTGCAGTAGTAATGAAGATGTTTTTGCTTTAGAGTTAGGACTCTATTTGTAGTCATCCCACCCAGAAACAGACTAGGCAGCACCGGATCCGCTGGATCCTTAGCTGGCCCCACTGCCCTCACATGATGGTAACGGGCCCAATCCAGGGTTCTTTGCTGTACCAGCCCTGCTGCTGCTGCTGCTGTAGTGAAGGGGCATTTTCCTGTTTCTGCTGTCATGACCAACACGAGTAGCAGGGCTGCTCTGTGAATCCCTGCCACTGCTAGACAGGGGTTAGGATTGTAGCCTACTTTTATTTCTTCTGAAATCAACCAATAAATGATGGATTTACTTGTGGAATTAAACACATTTTTCAGAACTGCTGAACAAGTCTACTACTGGTAATTAATACTGTCTATGGGATCAGAAGGTCGGTGGTTCGAATCCCCGCCACGGGGTGAGTTCCCGTTGCTCAGTCCCTGCTCCTGCCAACCTAGCAGTTCGAAAGCACGTCAAAGTGCAAGTAGATAAATAGGCACCGCTCTGGCGGGAAGGTAAACGGCGTTTCCGTGCACTGCTCTGGTTCGCCAGAAGCGGCTTTGTCATGCTGGCCACATGACCCGGAAGCTGTACGCTGGCTCCCTCGGCCAATAAAGCGAGATGAGTGCCACAACCCCAAAGTCGGCCACAACTGGACCTAATGGTCAGGGGTCCCTTTACCTTTACCTATGGGAAACAATTAAGGCTATTGTTTTTGACAGACACTATGAAAATGCGCCAATATGTATGCCATATTGTTCAATTTAATGACTGTATTGATAGGAATTTAAAAATTCTCAAAGTCTACAAACAAGATAACATTTACTCTAATGCTAATACTAAAGTTTTCTATAAAGTGAAAGCTGCATTCCTGGCAAGTATTACAACCAGAATTAACAAGCAATCAAATACCTCTCAATGGATTAACAAGTGATCAAACAGCTCCCTCTGGATAAGATACCAGCTGCATACATATTGAGGAAGGTAAATATGTAATTTAAAAATAGATCACCTGCATTTTAAAGGGCATGTTTTCACAGAAGCAAGTGCTATTTCAGATGCTGCTGTGAGAATGAATCTCACAACCAATTTAACACAACTGCACAACTGGTGACCCAGCACAGAGATCCATGTGTGCAGAAAAATACCAGCACCTCTCTTTTCCACACAGGAATCTCCATTTAATTTGATGGAGGAGCCAACCTGCATGCGCACATGAGTATGGGTTGTATCCAGTGCTGGTCCTGCTCAGAGTTAAACCCACTGAAATGAATGAACATGACTAACTTAGGTCCATTAATTTCAGTAATTCTACACTGAGTATAACTTAGTTGTGTACAACCCTATGTGGCATTTTACACTAAGCATCTTTATTTTAGGCATGATAGATTTACAGGCATACTGGAGTAACTGGGCTTGCTTCCAAATTTGCTGAATGAGGCAAATGGCTGGGAATTGTGTGCATCCAATTTATCACTTTAGTCTTTAAAGGCCTAAATGACTTAGGACCCAAATACATGAAAGTTTCCTTACCTACATACCCTCTCAGCTATTAAGAATAGCAAAGGGAGCCATACTGGTACTTCCCCCACTTTTTGAAATGTGGGGAATGGCAGACTAGAAGAGGATTTTCTCTGCAGCAGCCCCTAAACTGTGGAATGCTGTTCCCACTCTGGCACCTTTCATCATACACTGAAGATGCATTTCTTTACTCTTGACCAGAGTTTTGTTGTTGTTGTTGTATTTATTTACTTATATTCTGCCTTTTTCCCTAACAGGGACTCCAAGTGGCTTATAGATAAAATAAGAACAGCTAAAAGGGAGGGGGTCCATTAAATTCTTCTTCTGATTGCATATTGTTTTAACAGATTTTGATCTTTTGTTTCTATATTGTTGTAGTCCTCTTTGGGACCTTATGGAGAAGGGATGGTAAGAAATCCAATACATTTTAACCATTCACAAGTTATACTGGAGCCAGTATAATGGAGTGAGACTCTATAAAGAAACATTGTTCTATATTTTTGTTTGCTTTCAGCCACTTGCATTCTGACACAAAAGGGCCAAGTTCCATAGAAGTCTTTGTTAACCAAAAACAACTGAAAAATATAAAATAAAGATACTGTTTTAATAAAATTTTGTTTCAGCATTGGAATGCCAATGGTGCAACACTGCACCCTAGTGGGAAGTGGAATTTGTTAGCTGCTACTGTGAATCACAAATGCAAGCACATTTTAGTAGTACTTTAGGCTCCATAAGCAAATAGAGCATTTGGTTTGTTATGTTAGATTTTACATTCAATCTGATACACCAATCACAGCTTATTTTTATGTGGGCTTCCACTAGTCAATGCTTGCTTTGTTGAGTTAGTTGTTTATACCAAAATAAAGTGACTTGGCCAAGTCTAAATGTCAAAAACAGGTGCTTTTAGATAATGTAAACTGGCTTATACTGGTCACCTCCTGCTTACATACAGAGGTACTCTGGGCTGACTTGTCTGAACAGCATTTGCTCCTTGAGATCTAAGTAATGAGCCACAATGGTGTGGTCAGAGCTTCAGACTTTGGCTGGAAAGAACTGGATTCAAACATCAACTCAGCTACAAACCTTACTGGGTGACCTTGCCCAATATATCCATAAGATATACTGTTTAAAGAGCTATAGACTGCCACCATGAATAAGAGGTAATATGAATTCCAGTCATGATCAGTTGTCAAGGTTAAAACTGACAAGAAATTTTGTTTTGTCATAAACTACATGTGGCAACAGGAACACTTGTTTTTGTTTTAAATAACTGAATTTTAATTTCAGTAATGAACATATTTAAAAGATAACTTTGAAAAAGCCGTTCTGGTTTTTTGATTATCATATCCAACCCCAACCAGGACAATTTTCAATCCAACCCTCTTTCTCCTCCTCATGCTTTCCAGAGGCCTGCATGATCAAACTGAAGTACAACACACACACCCTGCCAAAACCAAACCACACGCTAGCCCAAAATGAAGACAATACCCTATCCCACTGTTCCACCGCCCCTACTGTGGTCTTCAGCAGCATACTGCCTCCAATTCTCCAGGATGTTCATTTATTCATTAAATCCATCATCTCAGCTTTCCACCAAATGGGTGTTCCGTACAGCCAATCATCAGGTAGCTGCTGATAAAGATGTTTCCTCCAGGTTTGCCTAAATCACCCTTTAAATCCACCATAGCTAGTGACTATCCCCACTTATGCCTATGGGCTGCACCAAAAAGCTAGCATGGTAAGATAAATAGCTCAGTTGGTAGGGCATGAGACTCTTAATGTCAGGGCCGTGGGCTTGAGCCCCACATTGGGCAAAGATTCCTGCATTGCAGGGGGTTGCACAAGATGACCCTCCCAAATCTTATGAGAGAACATTCCACTCCACCCCTCTCCCCTTGACAGGAAGTCTCTGCAGCAATCCCTGACACCTCTAGGTAGGGCTGAGGAAGCCCCACACCTGAAACCCCAAAGAGCTGTTGCCAGCCGGTGTAGAAACCAAGCCTTCAGGTATTTGAATGAACACCCTGCCGCCAGTAGAGATTCAGCGGGCGCCTTCTTGTACCAATCTCTGCTACTCCGCCAGGCAATCAAAGAGAGCTTCCCCTACCCAGCCTCTAATAACGGCCTTTTGGGTGTTCTTTTTAAAAAGAAAATCCTTCCCACCCACCCACGCCTTTAACTTTTTATTGCAAATAAATCGATAACACTGAGCCACATAGACCAGTGGCCTGGCTTGGTTTCCTATGTCCCTGTTTCGCTTCCTCATTTTGACGTGCAGGAAACTCCCAAACACCCCCCCCCATATCAGTCACTGGAAAGACACGCACGTCCTCCCCCCCCCCCCCGCCGTCAAAGCAAGCGAAGGCCACAATCCTACATTCACTTACCTGGGAGTAAACCTCATCGAAGCCAACGGGGCTTACCACTGAGTAGGCATACCCAGCACTTTCCCCCTCCATTCCCACCCGCTTCCTCCCCCCCCTCCATTTTATGTTATTTGTTTTAATTTATAACCTGGGATCGGGAGGCGAGAGCGCATTCAGGGCGGCCTTGTCGTAGCGCTCCATGACAGGGACGGTATGAGCCTTTTTACCCCCTGCCTCTCCGGCAGCGGCGAAGGGAACAGGAGAAGCTGCGCGCGCAGAGAGCATCCTGATCAGCTGATGCCTTCCCTTCCCATCCTCCACCGCGGCCGCCGGTCACGTGACGACGGGAAAAAAAAAGGCTCGCTGGCGTCGCTTTGCAGAAGGGAGAAGAGCGAGAGAGCTGCCTAGACTGTCTCTCACGGTTTCGGGAAATGCCTAGACCGTCTCCCAGAGCGCCCTCTTGTGAGCACCAGAGGTAGATGTAGAAATGATAAATGAAAAGCATGCGGATTCTCCGGATGTGAACAGGGCTGTGAGGGACTGCGAGCGGCAAGCGGATGTAACCGGATTTAGTCCTACTCGGAGTAGACCCGCCTAAAGAATCCTTTAATATCGGGGTGGGGGTCCTTTAATATCGGGGTGGAGGGGGTGGGGTGGGCTAGTCTAGGCTGCGTGCGCACGCGTTCGAAGCACAGCCTCTTCCTCAAAGTATTATGGGAAATGTTGTTTGCCCGTCATATTTCAGAGTGCGCTTCTTTCCCTCAAAGTATTCTGGGAAATGTAGTTTGTCCCTCACAGAATTCTCAACAGCAATTAATGCATTACAGTGCCCAGAATCCTTGTGTTTGTTCGTTTCAATTGTGCTTTTGAGATACCGTGGTGTACACAGCTTTAGTTGGTAATAACCCAATATTTTATATTTTTTATTATTTTTTATTAATTTTTAATTACTTTCTGGTCAGTGTAGCCTGTTTCATACAGGTTCATCTGCAGCTATCATTTGTACTTTAAAAAACCCCCAGCAGCAGTACAAATTTACTGGGAAAATATTAATACACTATATATTAAATAGTGATTAAGATATTCTAAAAAAAAAAGCTGTGTCAAGAATGACCGATTGATTGATACATATAAAGATTTATATACAGAACTGCTTTAAAACAATCTCATTAGTGGGTGATATGAAATGGTCTAAGATGCCTTTTTAAAACAGCAATAAAAACAGATTTTAAAATGGTAGATATAACAGACTGGCCAAAATGTAGCTGAAAACAGTGCATTAAAAAATTAGATGTCTGAGCAGGCTTGCCACTTTTCAACCTGGGGTTCCCAGAGCAGATAACAATTAAAATCAAGCTCTTAAAACATCCAATTAGCAGCAACAATTATTACTAAAACAGTGGATGTTAGGAAGAGTTAGAAGTTAACACTGCATAAAATCAAAGCCATAAGATTAAAAAGTAATCACAACAACTGTATTATTTATTTAGGACATTTATGTCTCACATTTCTTCCAAGAAACTCATAAGTAGCATATATTGTTCCCTAGCCCCTTTTATCCTTATAGCAACCCTGTGATGTAGGCTGACAGCTAATTACTGGCCTAATATCACATTGGCTATGTTTGTGCAACACTCTACCATGCAATATGATATAATAAGCATTAATGGAACACTCTGTGGTGGCTTTTAACAGTATCAGCCTTGCATATAACTGTCAGGCTGTATCTCTTTTCATAGCCTTTTGGCTCCCATGTTTTCAACCTCTCTCTCTCTCTCTCTCTCTGTTCTCCAGGTTTGCCTGGCCACTCCCAGGTGGCAGGAGGAGAGCTTGTATATCCTGGTAGGTGAGAGCACCTTACATTTTAATTATATTATTATTATTAAGAAGACTGTGCAGGCTTCAACCCGGCAAGAGCCAGCTGCAAATTATTGCACCGACCCTCAGAGGGGGGTTGCAGCGGTGTCTGCCTACAGAGGGATGTGGTCGTTGTCCTGAAATGATCCCCTAAAACCATTTAGTGGTGCACACACACACACCCATGGTATTTGTAGAGATGAAGGTTGGTCTATATTTTTTAATATTAAACAAGCACATGAATACAACCCTGCTGAGGTGCACCCACCATTGTGAAACCTCAGGAGATTATGGTGATGCACCTCCAGGGTTGTCGTCAGTTGCAGACTACCTGTGACATCATAATTGTACATGGCAACTGACTGGATATAAAGGTGGGCCTTTTTCTCTTCTCCAACAGAACACAGTAGAAACGGTTGTAAGATGCAGGATTGCCCAGTCTTTTTCCACTTGGATAAGGTGAATTGGCAGGTGGATGGAGGCAATCATCTGGTTGTGGGATGTTGTGGAGCAATAATAAGGCAAGTTCACTTGCTGAGCAGGATCACCTCTTGAAGGCATCTGATAATCCATGGTCATAAGCTGGTTGATGTCTATTGATGGACCCAGCAGATGTTAGTGGGTGGAAGCTGGTAAAGTCAGCATTCAGAAACAGGTACGTAGATGCCTCAAGGCTGAAGCAGGCTGATGTTTGTGAATGTCAGTTGGTTGGCATTTAGCTTTGGAAGCCAATCAACAAAAACAGGTGGATATTGAAGTTGGGGCATGATTGTGAATGAATGGAGAACAAAAGATGAGCACTGGCGGAGGAACGAGGAGGAGCGCACCGCCCCCTGCACCATTGGGGATGGCGGTACCATTGCGGCCGCCCCCCAGACACACACCGGGCACCCCCCCCACCGTGCCGGGCGTCATGCCCCCGGGACGCACCCCCCCCCCCCGGTGCTGGAGCATGCAGCTTTGCCACTGAAGATGAGTGAAGGTGTCTGTTGTTCTTATATATTTACAGTGTTACCTTGGGTTACAGACGCTTCAGGTTACAGACTGTTAAATGTTCGAAAAAAGTCAGAAGCCCAAGGCAGTATAAGTTCCTTAACTACGTTTATTCAACATTTGTCAGTGACAACACCTTACTCATAGGAAAACAAGAACCGAACTGACTGGACAATACAATAATAATAACAAGCATGAACTGACCGTTGACAGTTGAAAATGCATGCACTTGCCATTAGAACGCTCGTCTACCAATGCTTATACGATTGGATAGAACGTGCCTTGTAACATAAAAGCATAGTCATCAAGGTGTGCTGGCCTTTTCCGCTCCCGCTGGGACCGTCACAGTTCCTGTGTCCAAGTGGGTGACTCAGGAGGTTCCTCTGGTACCCGCGGTCTGAGTGGGGCGGTCAGCTAGGCTGGCTCTGAAGGGGTCACTGCCGATGGAGCCACTGAGGATTTCAGCCTGAAGTCGCTTTGCTGGGGTAACTCAGTCACCGGCAACCCATCCGGTTCCCACCCTGGCCTGGGCACAGAATCTCCCGAAGTACCCATTTCTCTGTTCTATGGTTCTGCTTGAAGTTCCATGTTTGGAGGTGCCCTGACTCTGATCTGGTCAAGGTGTCTCTTCCAAACCAGTCCCCCCTCTAACCCTACCCGTAGGAAACCGGACCTGTACAGCAAGCAATGATACCAGGGACCCAACCCTGTCCAGGCCCGTAGTTTTGGACATAACACAGTGTCCTCCGGGGAGAACCCTCTTGGAGCCCCCTGCACCACAGTGGATGGCCGTTGCTCAAGAGCCCGATCAAGGTGCATACGATCAAGGAGGGTAGTGAGCCTCCTCCCCATAAGCAACTCCGCCGGCCGGTCACTGTGCTTGGGGTGATGTGTTGGGCCAGTAAGAACTCCGCTAACCGGAGAGTCAAGTCTCCATGCACTTTGCGCCTAAGCACATCTTTGGTAGTACAGACCATGCGTTCAGCTTGGCCGTTAGTGGCCAGGTGAAAAGGAGTGGAACAAATGTGGAAGATTCCATTCTTGGTTACAAATTCTTTGAATTCTACCAAAGTAAAAGTGGTCCCATTATCGCTCACCAGTGTGTCTGGCAAGCCGTGTGCCGCAAATAGCTTCCTGAGCGCGTTTATAGTTGCTCTAGCAGAAACGGTTGAGGTCGGCACCACCTCGAGCTACTTGGACTGAGAGTCAACCACTATTAGGAAGTGTTGGCACTGAAAAGGCCCTGCGAAATCCACGTGCACCCAGGACCATGGGGACTGTGTGGACTCCCAGGACTGTATGGTGCCTTGGGTGGATCTGGCCAGGAGACCTGGCAGGGCTCACAATGTTTCACCCAGCCCTCTATCTCCACATCTATGCCTGGCCACCACACATAGCTATGGGCCAATGCCTTCATCCAGATGATCCCCGGGTGAGACATGTGCAGCCCTTCTAAGACTTTTTTCCTTAATTGGAGGGGGGACGACTATGACACGGCTACCCCATAACACGCATTCTCAGTGAGTAGACAGCTCGTCCTTGCGGGCTGTGTAGCATGAAAATTCTGGACCCGGCTTCCCGGGCCACCCCCTCCCCACCCAGTCCGAGATGCGGGACAATCCTTCACGGTTGTGGCGGCAATGTCCTTCACATGCAAGGGCTGGTCCGTTAAGTCTTCCAGCCGCCGGATCTGGTGGGCAGGAGCAGGGTCAGGGCCGCTCTCTGACAACAGCAAGCGGCTGAGTGCATCTGCGTGACCCATGGCTTTCCCGGGTCAGTGCTGTAGCGAATATTGGTAACCAGCCAGGAAAATGGACCAGTGCAATAATCGTGGTGAAAGCATCTGGGGTGTCTGGTGGTCGGGCGCAAAGAGTCCCAGTAGTGGCTTGTGGTCAGTAACGATAGTGAAAGGCCGACCATAAAGGAAGTCATGAAACTTTTTGACTCCCTTAACTACTGCCAAACCTTCCTTGTCAATCTGGGAATAGTTGCACTCCACCGATGTGAGAGTTTGGGAGAAGTAAGCCACTGGGGCTTCCCTCCCATCCAGAAGCTGGTGGCCCAGTACCGCGCCTACCCCATAAGGGGAAGCGTTGCAAGCCAGCACCACCGGGAGCATTTCATCGAAGTGTGCCAGCACTGAGTTGGACACAAGCAAGTCTTTGACCCCTCGGAACACCTTGGCCTGTCGAGGGCCCCAGACCCACTGCACTTTTTTGTTCAGGAACCTGTGCAAAGGCTCAGCTACGGCTGCCTTGTGTGGCAGGAACACGTGGTAAAAATTAAGAAGTTCCAAGAAGGCTTGTAACTCTGCCTTGCTCTTTGGGTCTGGAGCATCGCAAATGGTGCGCACTTTGTCCTCTGCTGGATGAAGGCCGTCCGTGTCAACCCGGAACTCCAGGAAATCCACGCTGCTCACTCCCAACAGGCACTTTTTCTGTTTTACCTTAAGTCCTGCCGCCTGGAACCGTTGGAGCACTATCCGTAATCTGGCAGAAAAGTCCTCTCTCGACGATGTGGCTATCAGCACATCATCGAAAAACAGTGTGATTCCGTGGATGCCTTTAAGGAGATGGTCCATTAGACTCTGAAATAACCCTGGAGCCATGCTAACTCCAAACTGTAGGTGTTTGACCCTGAAAGCATCCCCATGAGTCATGATTGTCTGGGCGTCTGTGGTGGCCTTGTCAACAGTTAGCTGCTGATAAGCTTGTGCTAAATCCAGCTTCCCAAAGATCTTGGCTCCAGCCAGGGTTGCTAACACGTGGCTCACCACCAGAACTGGGTACATGTGGTCCTGTAAGGCCCGGTTCAGGGTGCATTTGTAATCGCCACAGATACGGACTGAGCCATCCAGCTTAACCAGTGTGACGACTGGAGTTTCCCAGGTTCCCGAAGCTACCGGCTCTAAGACCCCTTGGGTGACTAAGCGATCAAGCTCCTCATCAATCTTGGGTTTAAGCACAGATGGGACTTTATGGGCCTTGACCCAAATGGGTTGCACCGTGGGGTTGAGCCATAGGGAAATCGGGGGTCCGTTGTACAGGCCCAGGGTTCCATCGGAGACTGATGGAAACTCCTGGCAGATCAATTTGAAATCTGCCCCTGGGGAAATCTGATTAAGCCCTGAAATACCTAAGCCTAACAGCCCAAACCATGCTAGGCCTAGAAGGCTAGTGAATGGGCCTTCAGTTATGATGAGGTTCAAATTCTTGGTGTACTTCTTAAATTGGACCTTAAAGGTGCCCATCCCCTTTAGCTGGATTCTTTTTCTCTGGAAGTCCCACAGCACTACGGGGGCCGGGCGGAGATGAGGACCACCATTAGGGCAAAGCTCTTTCAGAGTCTTAGCAGATATTATGGAATAGGATGAGCCAGTATCCAACTCCATAGTTACCCCTGGGTTCCCTCTACCTTGAGTTGTACCCTAAGCTTATTGGACCCCGGGAACGGAAGTTGAAGTACCCTAGCTAGAGAGGTGGACTGTAACTCCTCCTCTATGTAGGTCTCATGGACACGTTGCTTGGGTCGTGCTCCGGAGGTCTTGGAGCAGCAGACTCGACCAATGTGGCCAGTCTTCCCACAGTGGCGACATGTGGCGTCCTGAAACCTGCATGTCCGACGCTCGTGGTTTTCTCCACAGCTGGCGCGTCAGGTGCGTCAGATGATCGCTGGTTCGACGATGCTCTAGTAGCTTGGGAGCAGTGGTCTCGGTCGGATTGGTCCAAAGCTCGGTGGACATCCTCATTGTAGGAATCTACGGAAGATGACCCGTCTCGCTGGGTGCGGTGAGTTCTCTTTTCGGTACGTGCGCTGTGGGCTGCCTCGTGGGCATTATCCTTCTCAAAGGCAGTGGCCATATTCATTGCTTCCATCATCGTGATGTTGTCTTTTGCCAGCAGCTTGTGGTGGAGACGGCTGTCTCACACGCCACTGATGAACCTTTCGAGAAGTCGTTCCTTGATGTCAGCGAATTGGCAATACATCGCAATCGCCCGGAGCACTGTGATGTATTCACTCACTGACTCTTGTGCTTGTTGCTCTCTGTGCGCAAAGTTGTAGCAGCGGCGGTTCTTAGTTGGCTGAAGCGCGAGCTGTCTTGTCATGGCCTGTGTCAGCTCATTGAAAGTGCATGCCTCTATGTCCCTGGGTGCCATCAGACCTTCCAGTAGAGTGATGGCGGAACTTCCCAGCACCGTCAGTAGCACATCCACCTTGTCTGCCTCCCTAGTGAAGCTTTGTAGTCGGACGTAGCTCCTTATTTGGCGGAGTCACTGCGGCCATTCTGCAGGATGGCTCATATCGAAGTCCGGTGGCAGCCGACTATGACTGGTGGCCATCTTCGGACAGGAGCAGTCACTTGTGTGATTGTGCATGGTTGCGAAGATGCAGCAGGCGCGGTCTCGTTTCCGGGACTATTTGCTGAGTCCAGCGTGGCGGTAGGTTCGCGCTAACTGTGAGGCTGCAGGCAATGGTGCTGCGGTGCGGTCTTGGGCCTCTGGCAGCCAGCAGGAATTCATCTATCCCATCCTAGTCGCCAATGTTAAATGTTCAGAAAAAGTCAGAAGTCCAAGGCAGTATAAGTTCCTCAACTATGTTTATTCAACATTTGTCAGCGACAACAGCTTACTCATAGGAAAACAAGAACAGAACTGACTGGACAATACAATAATAATAACGAGCATGAACTGACTGTTGACAGTTGACAGTTGAAAGTGCATGCACTTACTTGCCATTAGAACGTTCGTCTACCAATGCTTATACGATTGGTTAGAACGTGCCTTGTAACATAAAATGTGTTAAACCCAATACATAACACAGACGCTTCAGGTTACAGACTCCACTAACCCAGAAATAGTACCTCGGGTTAAGAACTTTGCTTCAGGATGAGAACAGAAATCGGGCAGCAGCAGCACAGTGGCAGTGGGAGGTCCCATTAGCCAAAGTGGTACCGCAGGTTAAGAACAATTTCAGGTTAAGAATGGACCTCCAGAACGAATTAAGTTCTTAACCCGAGGTACCACTGTATACCCTGCCGTTTTCACTGAAAGGACTCAAGGAAGCTTACAGACAAAAATGAGAACCACTGAAAACTCAGAAACAACCAACCATTAAAGACATTGATAGAATAACAAATGTATACATATCTAAAAGGTAAAGGTGAAGGACCCATAGATGATTAAATCCAGTCGAATTTGACTATGGGGTATGGCACTCAGGCTGAGGTAGCTGGTGTTTGTCCACAGACAGCTTTCCGGGTCATGTGGCCAGCATGACTAAACCACTTCTGGCGCAACGAGACACCACGACGAGTGCCAGAGTGCATGGAAATGCCGTTTGCCTTCCCGCAGTGGCGGTATGTATTTATCTACTTGCACAGGTGTGCTTTTGAACTGCTAAGTTAGCATATAGTATACATATCTAAAATCTATTAAAAACATACAAAGAATTACAATAAGAATAGCCACAGTACAAGATGTTCTTCGTGGCAGTCAGCTGGTGTGTGCTTGCGGGTGTCAAGGGTACGTTTCGAATGTGATCAAAATGGGCTCCAGTGGAGGGAGCCATGAGTGCTAATAGGCACCTGGTGTGAAGTGAGAGGAGCGCATAAAGAGCAAGAGCTGTGCTGCCTCTGCCGCCCACAGCAACTCCTGGATGGCCTTTTGTTTTTATCAACTGAGCTGGAGGAAGCAAGCGGAAAGATTGATCAGGGGAGACCAGAATGCTGAGAGACCATGGAAACTGAAGTCTGGACTGGAGGAGGTATTGATTATTTATTTTCATTTGGAGTGGAGTGGAGTGGGGATGAGGTGAATCATTTAAGGGAGAAAACAGGAGAGGTGTGGGCTGCCTCTGAGGCAGAAGAAAATAAAACTTTGGGTTGGGAAGTTCTGGCATAAGTTTTTGTGAGGAGGGTATAGTTAGTCAGGTCAGAAGGAAATTAAATGCATAAGGTACTGACTGCCAATTGCATCATTAGCACCAGCTGTTCACAAGCACCGTTCATAGCAAGCATAGGCTCTATAAGTGGCTCAGAAGGAATGATCCCCTCACTTCAGCTGGACCTGGGTAGATCCATTTTTCTATGGATCTTAATTTCCAGGCTGTGACATATTTGCTCATTTGTATTTGATTTTGTGTTTCTTATTGGAATGACATGCTATCAGAGACTGTGATTAATACTTAATATAATCATGCTTAATGGCATCACTGGGGCCTGACTCTCGTTCTCAGGTTTGGGCCATGAAATCTCAGGGTCTGGGATGCTCCTGACCTGGCAACCTGAAATGCACCCATCGTCCCAATGTGAATGATATAATACGTTATGCACACAGCGAACCTATACCTCAAGCACGCTTACTAGTTAGAAAGGTTGTAGTCCTATGTCTTCTCAGAAATAAGTTGCATTTAATTCAGTGGGGCTTACTATGTGGTAAGTGAGGTGAGGATTGCAACCTAAGACCCGTTAAACTCAATGAGATTTCTCGGCAAAAATGCTTAGAATATGCAATGAATTCAGAAGTGTTTTGAAGGGGGGGTGACTCCCAAGTAAATGTGCACAGGATTGCAGCCTAACACTGGAAGCCCCATTGTACAGAATGTAACTTACTTCTGTGTGGATGGCTATATGATTCTCCTGCAACTCTATTAAGGTGCTCTATTAGGCTTCAGTCCTAAACCACTTCCTCTGTAGTAAGCTCTCACTGAACTCAATGGGGTTTACTTCTGAATAAACATTTTTTTAGGATTGCATTTATTATTTGTACCCTGCGCATCTGGCTGGGTCTCCGCAGCCACTTTGGGTGGGTTCCAACAAAGATTAAAAATACATTAAAATGTCACACATTAAAAACTTCCCTGAACAGGGCTGCCTTCAGATGTCTTCTAAATGTCAGGTAGTTGTTTATCTCTTTGACATCTGATGGAAGGGCGTTCCACAGGGCGGACACCACTAAATAATTGTGTGCATGTGTTTTAATAGAGCAATTAATGTACAGGTAAGTATATTAGAGGAAGTAAGGAAAATGTTAGGCAGAGAACGAGAGAGGGTGGGTTTGGAATGTTGGTTGTGAATGGTGTTTGGATTGGAGTTTAAAAAGCAAGTCTGACTACTGATGGCAAGACAGTGGAGGCTCAGTTTAGTTGAGTTTGGAGTCAGTTGAGCTGAAGTTGAGTTTGGGAGTGGGTAGTTGATGGGGAGCAAAGTTATTTTATCTAAAATAGGGTTAGTAGTGTATTAGCCATTTTGTATAAACAACAAGGTAATAAGATAAACTGAAAACATACGCTTTACATCAGTGTTTCCCAAAGTGGGCCATACTGTCCCCAGGGGCGCTGGAACAATTCACGGGGGCGGTAGTATCCTCAGGTGCAATCAGGAGGCGTTGAATAAAAATAAGGGGACTATGGAAGCATAAAGAAAGAAGAGAAGAGAAATTAGAAAAAAAACATGTTTCATCTGTTGTGTAATGACACTTACTGCCAGGTCGGGCATCTGTTGTGGAATGGTGACAACACCTCCCATGGATCTAGTGGTCATGCTGGGGTGTGTGTGTGTGTTTCCCAGCCTAGGGTGAACTCTTTTTGGCTTCATTCAAGCCCAGGAATTGGATTGCAGTTTGCCTGCCTATTTGGCCAATGGGTGGTGGGCTGCGGTGCCAGCCCTGCCCCTGGGGCGGATCAGACTGAACCAGCAGACTTTGCTCCTGTCCACCCCATGGATTCTTCTAGCTTCAGGGTGTCTTATTTACAACAACATCTTTCTTTACTATGTGTAGGACATAGGTAGAAATATAGTTACCTAAAGGAAGCGCAAATTTGTTGCCGCATCTTTTTATTAGTTTGCTTAAAGAAGGTAGATTTCCAAGAGGGTGCTGAAGTTTGTTTTCTAAAAAGGGGGCGGTAGGCCAAATAAGTTTGTGAACCTCTACTTTACACCAAGTAATTATAAAACCCTTTCAATTATTGATGTTTAACAAATGACTGTGTTATACCACATGTCTCATATTTGGCTATGCTGTGAGTGGAATATTAAGATAAATAGAATCTGTGGTGGCAGCAGGAATAAAGGGAGGCTATAGAAATATCCGTTGAAACCCTGATCAGAACTGTACATTTTGTTAAGAGTGGGAAGACTATACAGGGGAGCTGGGTGCAGTGCCAGAGCACCACATACGCTGGCAGAGGCTTCCATAGACCCTAGCAGGTTTTACATATGTATAGCTGGGAGGGGGGGGTGTGTTAACAGTGAGGCCAAAAGGTCATGAGATGCAAGAGGTACAGACTGTGACATTTCTCTGCAAATGTTTGTGACATTTTAACAGGCATGCCTGCCAGCAGGGATTGTCTTCTATTTTGGTTTTGTGCTGCGTGCCAAGTGCCTTTAGAAATAATAATTCATTTGTAATTAGGATTAGAGTGCAATATTATACAGTAATTATATTTCATAAGAATGTGACCTTTTTGCAAAGCCCCTTGCCAGAAGACAGCAAGTAAGTGGCATAGATAAGTGTATGTGTCAAGTGGGTTGCTTTGTTCCTGAAAGAATTGCAACCAGTCCACATGTGGTTCAAGTAGCATTTCATTCAACAGGGCATGCTTGGTCTAGATGCATAGCAGAATACACACACCCATGAAGAGGCTCTTCAGGCAAAATGGCTCTAGCCCAGGTCCCATCTGCATTATGCATTTAAAGTAGAGTTACACCACTAAACAGCCATGACTCCCCCTGCCCCAGGAGTTTAAAGGTATTGAGAGGAGTTAGGAGACTAGATAGACCAATGATCTGACTCAGTATAAAGCAGCAAGTGAAGCATTTCCTGGCATGGAGCTCAAGCATGCCCTCCAACATTTGGGGAAGTGCCTTAGCTCAGTGATAGAGCATCTGGTTTGCAGGTATAAGGTCCCATCATCTCCAGACAATGCTAGGATGGACGGTTCAGAAATCCCGGAGAGCTGCTGTCAGTCCATGTGGACAGGACTGAGCTAGATGGGCCAGTGGTCTAATTCAGTAGTGTTATAGATTTGGGAGGGGGACACCCCCCCAAAGCAACCCAAGAAATTAATCAGTGGTGGATTTTTGATGATTTGTAACGTGAAGGGAGAAATACAAACTTCAGAGGAATTCTTGGGCTAGTCTATGCAAAACGACCTGGCCAGGCTGGGGCCATTAAGAAACAAAAGAGGACCATTGGCAATGCAAGAGCACTGTCCTTCCCCTCCTGCCCTGAGCTGCGAACAGAAACAGGGGTTTGGAAGGTTGTGTTTGAGGTGACAAGAAAAGGGAGACTGGTAGCAAGGGGTTATGAGAAAGAAGAAGAGACTGGGATCCATTTTGGCGCAGGCTGGCTGAAGGCAGGGTTCACTGCTGCAGGGACAAGTCCCTCTTGAAATGACCATGCTGTAAGATCTGGACTCCCTCTATGCAGACTTCAGGTGTTAAGAGGTGAACAAACCATGTTTCTTAAAGCCACTACAGTCTCCTCTATGTCTTAATTCTCCAAAGGACCACAGACTCTGGGGGAGTGCTTGGAGCGCCATAGGCTCTTGCCACCACTCAGCAGAGAGAGAGGGAGGGACCCAACTTTTGTAAAAGTATAATGTAGCTTCCTATATTCACATATAAGCTTCTAACATGAGTTTGACAAACTGTGGGAGGCAGTGGAAGACAGGAGTGCCTGGCGTGCTCTGGTCCATGGGGTCACTAAGAGTCGGACACGACTAAACAACAAATATTCACGTACTCCTAATCTTTACAAAAGAGGATTTCAGCTTTAGGTCGTAATGTAGAAATGTACAGGCAACTCGTCTTAAGACTCTGCTAGTAACTTGCTTGTGAATGTTATTTACAAAGCTGGTGATGAGCAACCACTTTTCCGAGTTGCTAAGAAGCACTCTTCTTTAGTAAAAATTGAGAGGAGGAAGTTACTTAACATCCTTTAAAAGCAGTTCCATCAGGGCTGAGATTCTTCAGCCTCTTCTCTGCTTGTCTTTAGGCATAACAAAATGTTCTGTTGCCAAATGAAAGAGCCATCAGTACAAGAAATGCTAAGACAACAATCAATAGTGTTCTTATTAATCATACAAGTGGATGCAGTTCAAGTTGTGGAAGTAATCTGCATTACCCTCTTCATTGTGAATGAGCCTGCTTTGATGGAAAGCTTTTAGGTTCCCAGTCATTTTAGAACTCTCTTAATTCCTTTATGCATCCCAGCCCATAAACCTCTCTCGAGCTGTTGCTCTTGGCATGTTTTTTTTTTTTTAATTAATGTAGTGATACCCATTACTGTGCAGGTGAAATTATAACAGTTACTCTTTCAAAGCCCAGAAGCTGGAAGGCAGATTCTACTCACTGAACATTGTCTGATAATGTACTAAATAAAACAATTGCTTAAATGGCCCTGCTTCTGAGTGGGGTGGAGGGTGGAAACACACCAATGCAATTAACAGCACGGCTCTTTCGAACCTTGGAGGCATATTTGGAAACCTAAGAAACTGTAGTAAATACATATTTCACATAATAAAACCTAAGAATGCTCAACCCCCCCCCCCCAAAAAAACCCCCAGGCAAAATACCTACACCCCCACAAAAGACAAAAACACTGACAGAAAAACTGGCAATATCTTCCCCAAAACAGGCAGCTTCCCAAGCAAACAACCCCCTCCCCCCGCAAAGCCAATATACTCATTTAAAAGTAATTGGGAGCATGGCCTTGGAGGTGTGCCTAGGTCCTAGGAGGATGCCTGAGGGTGCTCCATTAAGCACCCCAGCTTTAGAGGAAAGGTTAAGCAGCTAGGTGGTTGGATGCAAAAGAGGGCAGGGCTTCGGCACCTTGAATAGTTATGCAAAAGAGGGAGTTTTGGCAACACTTACTGAAATTGCATCTTCCACCATGACAAGATAACAGTTATTGACCATAAAATCACAATATTAACAACACAACACAATTTAAGCTCACAGGATTATAACTATGTGATGTTTATAAACAAATATTTACTGGGTTTTTAAAAATAATAATAATACAAGAACCATTAAACACTTATCCAGCAGTACATCTTATGGTGTTTGTTCTATCCATTAACTTTAGACATAAGCTCACACATTCAGTGTTCAAATCTATTAGTTAATGTAACCTCTCTGCTGAGAAGACTGAGCGGCTGGTATAACAAGATCTTGGTTTTGGTCATTAACATAGTTAAAGAAAGGGGTCCACGTTTCTTGGAAGGTGAAATATACTTGGAGTTGAGTGTGAATTTCATGCTCTTTATTCTACTCATAGTAGCAATGAATGAATCTTTCCCCAAAAGTCTAGCTTTACAGTATATACGTTATTTACACAATGGGCCCTGTGTGATTGGCTAATTCCAGGATGCTCCTTTTGGCCAATCAGGTTGCTGATTCACTTCATCCAGGAGCCTGATTGGCTGCTCCTGCAGGCCAATCAAGTCACTGATTCACTTCCACCTGGAGCTGGATTGGGTGGCTCCTGCGGACCAATCAGACTGCTGCATTCTGGATTCTATTGTTCTAGGATTCAGCTCAGTACATAACGGAAGATGTTTCTCTTCATTATCCCTTCAGTTGCCTTCCTGTGTCTGGTGAGATGTTCAGACACTGCTGTATCCCATATATTATTTTCCCATATCTGCAGGGGTATCAAAAAGAAGCAACAGTGCAAAAGGCACTGAGGGCTGGTGTGGTCTAGGTATTTAGAGTGTCAGACTCAGTCCTGGGACACCAGAGTTCCAATTCCCATTCAGCCATGGAATTCACTGGGTGGAGATGGGCCAGTCACAGTCTCTCACCTTAACCTCATTGTTGTGAGGAGAAAATGCAGGGAGGGATGAACTATGTCATCTTGAGCTCCTTGGACGAAAGGTGGGATATATATGCCATATGAAATGAAATCAAAACACAGCTTAAGCCAAAGCCAATAAACCAGCAACATAATCAGTCAAATTATCCCCGTTTAAAAGCCATTACGTTTATTTATTGTGGCACAGTGTATAGAAATTACTGCGTTATCAGGGTGATTCTTTTACTTAGCTGAAATACATGGCACGAAGGTAGTAACAACCTGATCCACGTCCCCTCCTCTGCTCTAAAGCTATTAATCATTGTGGCGACAGGTCAGTTATTTACACTTGCCAATTTTTAATTTTTTTAAAAAAAAAATATATCTTCAGAGCGATCTGGAATTACAAGGAATTAAATATATGCAAGATAGATTAGCAGTGTACATTTAGTTTGCTAATTGGGCCTGGGTTTTAATTGCACTCTTCATAATGATTTGAAGACTCCATCTGAAATAATTTACTTTAGCAGCAAATGTTTTACTGCCAACAGAGTAAATAATATACTGAAAATAAGGGTTGCATGCTTTTCAAAGATCAATTCTGACCAGCAAGAAAAGCATTGGGATGAGACATTTCTTGTACATCAGTCTTAACAGAGAAACAATCTAACTGGAAATAGGAAAATAATTAGCAATTATTTTCATATTTTAGTAAGATTGCTTCTCCATACAGACTGTTGTGTATGCGATGGTTATCCAAATAGCATATTGTACTGTATATCAGAACTGAAAACAGAAGCCTGTGAGCTGTTTTCTGAAGCTGTTATCTTCTGTAATGGCAGTAGAAAAAAAATAAAAATGCTAAGAATTGTTTCCCTTTTCATAAAATTTCCTTGATATTACTACTGTAATAACCCTGCCTAGAAAGTGCTTTTTCATCAGAGACAACACAGGAAAAAAGGCAGAGAGGTATGTTCCTTCACTTCCACACTGCCCTGCATTTAGGGAGAACAAATCAAAGGCATATGTATAGGATGGGAGAGAGATGCTTTTCGCAGTGGTATGATTACCTTGAATATAACCCAGCAGTGTTATGCAGCTGCAAATAAAGCTAATGCAATCTCAGGTGCCCTCCAGATGTCCTTGTTATCCATGCATTCATGATTATTTGTACTCATGATGGTATTGGGACAGTTACCTGCCATCACACTTTCAATACTGTTTGGACCTGCAAAGGTTTTGGGATGGACACACTACTTTCTTTCCAATCAGCGTAACTTGTTTCAGTCCTGTAACTTCCAGTAAAAAAAGTCTAGTTTTTATACCACAGAAGATCTATCTATCTGTCTATCTATCTATTTACAGTGGACCCTCTGGATACGAATTTAATTTGTTCTGGGAGTCCGTGTGCACCCCATAAAATCCGTATCCAGAGGCGCCGCTTCTGCGCATGAGCGAGTGGTGAAACCCGGAAAAATACTTCCGGGTTTGCCACTTTTGCAAGCCGAAGTTTACGTTACTCGAGAGTAACATAACCCAAGGGTCTTCTGTATTTATTTTGTCCTGCTTCTGCTGTGCCGTAGTGCAAAAATAACCCTCCCAGTGGCAATAATACAATAACAATGGGGAAGCATCACAGACCAACTTATAAAGAGGAATGATGTGTGGATGTCCCAGTATAAACCCACCACTAAAGTACTATTACTGCATCAATGATATGTAGCAGAATATACCAGCCAAAAAACTTCCACCAGACTGCATTAACAGAAGCATCATGACCACATTATGAGATGTAATAAGCCCTTTTGAGGCATTCCCCTGCATGTGATTACAGTGGTACGAAGAGGACACTTACCCTGTCCCTCTCTTGCATCTGTTGGTTTATGGTAAAAGGAAAAGAATAAACATGGTAAAATAAAACAAGAATTCTCTGGTTTACCTAGATCCAGGTTTGGAGCAAGCACTATTTGGTTAGAAAGCCCCAGCAGAGATTTAAAATCACAAAACGTAGTAAAGTGTGGAAATGTAGGCTGTTAGACCTTTAAAATATGCCCTTCTGAGTTACTTCCAAAGTTTCCCGCTTCCCTAGTACAGAAAAATACCACACGCTTGGTGAGTTAAAAATGGTTTACTTAGAAACTCTCCAAAGGTCAGATTTATGTGTATTTCCATACATCAGTCAGAAAACAAAGGCAGTAAAACTTATAACGGTTGAGTAGAGCCTTCTCTCTCTCTCTCTCTCTCTCTCTCTCTCTCTCTCTGTGTGTGTGTGTGTGTGTTTGTGTGTGCATGAGCATAGCCAGTATTTCTGTTGGGGGGGGGCAGAACCAGCGTGATTGGTCAGCTAAGTATTTCTATTGTTTTACTCCCTCCCTCCCTGGCTACACCCATCTGTGCATTGTACATACATGTGTAGGTGGGGCTTGGGCATGAATCCTTGGAATATGATTGGGCGCAATTCTCTACTCACCTGGGAAGTGGAATTCATTGGGGCATATTTCTGGATAAACATGGATTGTGCTGCTTGGGTGTTGCAAGCATTTTCCTGTTTTCATATATCTGTATTTTCTCCTAATAGGGAAAAACACCCTAATTTTCATATATTGTACTATTGCCCAAATAGTCCTAGTCAAGGCGTTCCAAGACTGTGGTAAATGGACCACCAGTAGTCTGTGAGCTTTGTTCATGCAGTCCACCTTAAATATCAATATCAATTTTTAATTATACTTGTATTGCTTCTTTTAATCCATCCTATTTTATTGTACAGTTGTACCTTGGTTCTCAAACGGAATCAGTTTGAAAACCAAGGCACGGCTTCCGATTGACTGCAGGAGCTTTTTGCACTCAAGCGGAAGCCGCGTCGGGCATTCGGCTTCCAACAAATGTTTGCAAACCAGAACACTCACTTCCGGGTTTGTGGCGTTTGGGAGCCAAAATGTTCGAGTCGCAAGGCATTCGACAACCAAGGTCTGACTGTATTACGGTTTGAATTCTGTTGAATGTAAATTGTAGTACAATGAACAAAAGAAGCAATTTAAATACATTTAAAACCATACAGAATATAGCACAAGACACTGCAATTGCTGCAACAGGTATTTTGTGCTCTGAGAAGGCCATGAGTAGTTTTCAAGTGCCGTGGGGTGGGGTGTTTGGCAACTGCTTGTCTTATCCTGGTTGTAGTCTTGCCTCCAAGGTCCTCTAGATGGAGCTGCTAAGAAGGAAATGAAGGCCAGCTTGTTTGAAACGGCAGGAATCTCCATTGCTCCCTCAGTATCTCAAGAGAGGTAGCAAGCCATGTGTTGATGTTTGCAGAGTTTTTAAAAGGAGTGAAAATTAGAAAATTCTAACGAAGCCACAGACTTTCTTCCTCCTCTTGCAATATATTTTGCAGGCTGCCCAAATCAGGTTTGTTTGTTTTGCAAGAAGGTTGCTCCAATAAATGTCAATCATCCCACCTGGCAATTCATCCCAGTTCCTAAGAAGACATAGTTGGAGTCAAGCAGCAGTTTCCAAAACCCTAGGGAGAAGGTGGATCATGACTTATAGAGGAATGGGCTGCACAAGCCAGTGTATTATAAACACCAACCATTGGTGTCAAGTCTTGATGTGTTTATTGGTTTCTAAAAGGGCAAATATGGCAGGAGACTTTTCACACAGCCACTGGGAGCATCGGAGCTGCAATGCAAGGGGTGCATTTGGCAGCTTTATTCGGAGAAATAGCAGGTCTTAAAATTAATAAAGATAAAACCAAACTCCTGGTAAAAAATATGAAGGTTGAGAGTAAAAATAAATTACAAAGTTTATCATGCTTAAAGATCAAAAACAATATTAAATATTTGGGTATGTGGTTAACAGCAAAGAATATAAACTTGTATAAAGATAATTACAGTGGTACCTCTGGTTGCGGATGGGATCTGTTCCGGAGCTCCGGTCAGATCCCAAGGTTTCTGCAACTAGAAGTGCCTGTTCTGTGCATATCTGTAGCGCGATAGATAGTGGCTGTGCATGCACACGATGCGTAGAACACTTCTGTGCTGCGTGTAGAGCACTTCTGTGCATATGCGAGCTGTGAAACCTGGAAAAATACTTCTGGGTTTGCCACTTTGCAACCCGAAGTTTATGTTACCCAAGGGTAACATAAGCTGAGGTTCTACTGTACTTGAAAACTTGGGAGGATATTAAAAGGAATTTGCAAATAGGGAGTAGAATGAAACTTTCATTATTGGGTAGAGTGTTGACCATTAAAATGAATGTAACAGTGGTACCTCGGGTTACATATGCTTCAGGTTACAGACTCCGCTAACCCAGAAATATTACCTCGGGTTAAGAACTTTGCTTCAGACTTCCGGGGTGGCGCCATCGGTAATGGCGGACTCCCTCTGATCCGGAGGGACTGGCTCCACGGAAAACGGGTCTGTTCCGCTACGGCGAAGCGGGGACCCTTCAAAAAATCACAGGCGGAGGAAGCCTGTGACCATGGGATTGGCGGGCACCTTTTGCGCCCCCCCAATCCGTAAAGGAACCCAACTATGTGCTCCGGAGCGAAGAGGGGTTAGTGGCGCGGTGCTGAGAGTCAACTGCTTTTTCCGTGGAGCGAAGCCGCACAGCCGTTGCCGGAGAGCGCTACCTTTTTCCTGGGACAATTTGGTTACAAAAACAACTACCCGTGAGCAGATCAAATTTGGACAATTGGACTTTAAACAACGATCTGTGAGTAGAAGGGAAAATTGGATTAGAAATTCTTCTTAATTTGGCACTGAAGCAGGAAGGTCTAAACAGGAAGTCAGCCTTCCATTTCTTGTAGATAGATTAAAGCAAAGACATGGCAAACTAGAGTCCAGAAAATCGTTTGTAAAGGATCAACTTTCATCATCTAAAACTACTGAACCCCCTTCGGAAGCAGGAGAAGAGGGGGGATTTTTTCCGGATGGTTTAAACTTGCAGGAGAGAGTGTAAAGAAAAGTAATTTTCCACCGTCTTGAACCTGGGAGCGGGATGTCAGGACAGACGTTTTTAGGAAGTTCATTGACTATAGACAAATGTTTTTGACAGATAGTTAAAAGAAGAGAAACATAGTGATTCCATTGTTCTCTTTCGCATTTTAAAGGAACAAATACTGACAAAATATCTGAAAAAGGAAACTTTGTTGTTAGATCTTCTGTTAAAAAAGAAAAAAGAAAGAAAAGAGATTGATACAAATAGAAGTTCTTCCCCTAGAGGGAGCTTGTGAAACTGTTATTAAACTTGAACTGGGGAGCTTCGCAGCTGCAAACAGATTAAGATCGTGGGAACAGACTTCTGACCTTGCATAACAACGTATTCAGAGGCTCTGGTGCGTGCTTTCTGTAAGACAAGTGCTTTATTGGAACAGTTACATGAGAAGATGGATTTGATGACTGTTGCGATTAGAAATTTTGGACAGGTAGTGGGTATCTATATAGAACCCACCCAGGAATCAACTCAGGAGTGTGCTCTGACAGATCAGATGAGGGAGGAGATCATTGTTGGACCTCGGGTAGCAGAGATGGAGGGAGCTGTGGCCCAGCAGGAACATGAGTTGTTGGATTTGACAAATGAACTTGGAAAAAGCCAGATTTGGAGAGATAGAGTTTTGTTGGGTTTGGAGATGGAGGGCTGGATAGACCCCCCTATGCAGGGATGTCCTGAATTTCCAAGTCTGGCAATGGGCCATGAGGAGTTTGGGGTTGTGGGGGTCCTCAACCTTGGAGGGACTTTGAAACATGCTTTTAAATACCACATGGAGTTCAGTGTGGATTATGGAAAAGGGGCTGATCTGTCGAGAAGGGACAAAAATACTATCAAGTTGGAGTTTCCACGAGCGAAAGGACCAGGAGACAAAGTAAAGTACAGGTATAAATATGAAGAAGATCTGCGGAAGGGACATGGAAGAGACTTAAGGGCCTCGGACATAAGATTACCAGGTTAATGAACTAAATGGATGAGACAGAAAGGACTGACAAAACCCGGGACCAGGAGGAAGAGATGTTGGAGGAAGATTGGAAGAAAGTTTTAAAAAAAATTTCTATTTAGGATTGTTTTGTAAAATTAATGAGTATTAGAAAAATGTTGGAACGAAACTATTTGGCTTTAGCAGAAATGCTAAAAAGAACTATGCAAGAATATGTTATGGTTATGAGAAATTGGTATAAATAAGATTTAAGTTTTAGGGTATTTTATAGTAAGATAAGGTTAAAATAGATTAAGGTAATTTAATGACAGAATATTATGAAAAATGGGAAGGATTTGCTGTTATAATTAATAACTGGAATACAAAAAAGGGAGGTTTGAGGAGGTCGATGAAATAAGGCAATGACAGTTAAGGATTTGGGAATATTGGATCTGTTTTTAATTGTTTGTGGTTTACTTTTGTTTTTTGGATTTTGATGTGTTTTGTCATTGTTTTTATTGATTTGTATGGTTTGACTGCTGTTTGCTTTTCCCTTGTTTTTTTTCTTCTTTGTTTCTTTGGTTTTTTTTGAAACTCTAAAATGCTTAATAAACATCATTTAAAAAAAAAGAAGAACTTTGCTTCAGGATGAGAACAGAAATTGTGCAGCAGTGGCGCAGCGGCAGCAGGCGGCCCCATTAGCTAAAGTGGTGCTTCAGGTTAAGAACAGTTTCAGGTTAAGAAAAGACCTCCAGAACAAATTAAATTCTTAACCCGAGGTACCACTGTATTGCCACGGATGTTATTTTTGTTTCAGTCAATACCAGAGATGTTAGCAACATGGTTACAACATCATCATCTGAATAAAGTATTTAAAAAGGATATAAAGCAGGGGTTTGGGGAACAAACATCACAGCTAGAGACCTGTTAAACTGAAATGTTAAAGTGCTGTCTAAACTGTATAAGAAGTTTTTGGAATGAGAGACAAAGGATGAACAAGTGAAATCTTCAGTCATACCCTGGGCAATAGATATTGGTTATAATATAGAAATGGATGCATGGGAACATTTATTGAACATGGATTTAAAATTTACAGCATGTTGTAGTTTAAGAGAAAACTATATGAAAATGTTATATAGATGATACCTAACACCTAGTAGATTGGCAAAAATGTATAAATCCAAATTGAATATGTGCTGGGAAAGACAGTACCTTTTTTCATATGTGGTGGTCTTGTAGTAAGGTTAAATCTTTCTGAGAAATTATATATAATGAACTTTAAAAGATGTTTGAAATAATATTTATTTAAAAAACAGAAGCTTTTCTTTTGGGAATTATGGGATCAAAACCACCGAAACAGTATAGAAATTTATTTATGTATGCAGCCACAGCTGCAAGAATGTTATTTGCCCAAAAAAGGAAGGAAGAAGAGGTATCAACAAGAGAAGAATGGATACAGAAGTTAATGGACTATGCAGAAATAGCAAAACTTACCAGGAGAATAAGAAATCTAGATAACAATTTTTTGTAGAAAGGAATGGAAATGTTTTATTGAGTATTTACAAACAAACTGTAAACAGATCAAGAAATTGGCAGGATTAATGTAAAAACCTGCAGTTTCAAAATATATAAAAGAATATGTTCAGATAATTTGAGTATGCAGGAAGATGAAAAGAAATGTAAAGAACCACAGAAAGAGGGGTAAGGGAGTCGGAGTTTGAAATGTTAAAATTATGATTGAATAATTGTTGTAATGTATATATAAATGAAAAGTGTTGTTGTTGTTGTTGTTGTTATTATTATGAAGTACTTTTCTGTTGCATGCTGAAGCTGTCTCTCTTTACTCCAGCCCTCTTTACTGGAACACCTGGGAGATGTTTTAGTACCCACCCTATTCTTGTTTGTTTTACAACTTTATCATTATTACTTTAGAATATATATATATATATATATATATATATATATATATATATATATGTATATGTATATGTATATATACATTGCTTAATTGCAATTGTCTCTAAGTGGAGTACAATTAGTTAAAAAATGAGGGGTACAGTTATAACTTCAGAATTCAGTTAAGATGCCTGCTGGAATAGAAAAAAGTCTTCATTAACATCACATTTTTAAATTACTGTAATCTGCTCTGGAGCCTTATGGAGAAGGGGAGGTAAAAATCACCGTTGTCATCATCATCTGCTGGAGAACTATACATTTTTCAAAGCACTATTATGCCACTTTGACTGTCTTGGCTGTCCTCCCTCCAAAATAAAAAATCAAAAATCCTGGGATGTGTATGTTGTTAAGGACTCAGAGTTATTAGGAGACTCAATTTCTCCTTCCAGAATTTCAATTTTCAGAGCAATTTAACAATCAGTCCCTCTTCCAGGATTCTTTGGCAAAAGCCATGACTATTAAAGTTGTAGAATAGTGCTTTAAACGTGTGGTGTGGATGTTGAAAAATTGGTTCTAGAACCTGTAGAGCAATCCTAACCATGCCTACTCAGACGTAAATCACATTGAATTCAGGTAAAAGCAGGAGGGAAATTCAGTTCAGTTCAGTTTGCATTTAAAGGCAGACTTGCCTAACTCAAACTTTATGAAAATTAAAATAAATACACAAACTGAAACTGCGCTCCATTGATACTTACACTTCTATGAATTTTGCAGTGCAGTTCTCCAGCCGTGAAATGTGTTCAAAATGTGCACACATTCATGAAACAAACATACAAAATGCATTATATTTGGATAAATGGCACTGTGAAAATGGGCACACGAGGCAAAATTGCACACAAATGTGCATACAGTCATACCTCGGGTTGAAGTAGCTTCGGGATAAGTATTTTCTGGTTGCGCGCTGCAGCAACCAGGAGCGCGTTACTTCCGGGTTTTGCCACTCGCACATGCGCAGATGGTCAAAATGACGTCATGCACAGAAGCAGCGAATTGCAGCACACGCAGACGCGGGTTGCGTTCGCTTCTGGATGCGAACAGGGCTCTGGAATGGATCCCTTTCACATCCAGAGGTACCAATGTATTAGGAGAACTTCACACTAATGTGAATTTAACATACAGTATATAAAATGGAAAACTGGCATAAACTGAAATTGGCAGATTCTCCCTTCCCTGCTTCCAGGTAAGTGAGGTTAAGATCACCTAAATCAGCCTAAGTCCCACCTTGAAAGGCCACTGAATTTTGCCTCTCTATTTTCTCTCTGTTCTCTCCAGCTTTACTTTCCCCATTCTATTCACTAATCTTTAACTTTGCACCAAGCCTGGCATGCGCAGGAAAGTTTATTACGCCCCATCTGCACCAGTCTAGTTACATGCCCAGTGAATTATTTCTGGAAAGAATCAGTCCAGCACAAGTAATTTCAATAAAACAACCTTTATACTTTAGGAAATATAGATGTAATATTGCTGCAGTTTAATAACAAATACTAGAGCCTCTGTGATAATATCTTTAAAGTGTGATTTTATGACAGGCCTTTTCATTGCAAATGGGAAATACATTGTTGCATGCTACCCCAGTCTCTGAGTGGTGCGAAATTCCAGAGGTTCCGGGTGCTTACCCAGGGTTCGGTTTCTTTGGAATAAGGGACAACAGAGGTGTCTTTAGGATATATAGTTTGTTTATGCATAGATACAACCTGAGCCTAGGATGGAAGGGCTCACAGCATTAACACCCCAAGAGGGTCTTGCTTCTCCCATGGCCTGTTGCAGAATACCTGGGGGAACAAACCCACCAGTCTGGATACATTATGTTTCTAAATGGCAGCTTCTGAAAATCACAGAAAGGGAGATCAGGAATGCCTTCAGGTTCTGCCTGTGGGCATCTGGTTGGCCACTGTGAGAACAGGACACCGAAATAGATAAACCACTAGCTTGATCTAGCAGGGCTGCTCTTATGTTCTTAATCTGAGCATGATCCACCCTGCCGCTTGAATGCTTACAGCACAAAGCAGATATTGAGAGTTGTGTGGGAAGGAGCCACTCTAAATTTGCCCTAGTTTTGGCTGTGGCTGGAGTTAAGTGGTTGTCTGATCATTTCTCAGAAACTAGCCGAGCAACCAAGCGTTGAAAAGCTCAGACAAGATATAGTTTTAATATATTTTCTCTTTTTAAAATTATAGCTAAGTAACATGCTGAAGCAACCTGGTGGATTAAATTGTAATTCTGAGAAAGAAAGAGAAACCAGCATCTATCCCATTTACATTCATTCTAATGCCAGCTCATAAATTACTCCCCTTTCAGGTAGGGAACATTCAGCCACATCCGTAAATTAAACAAAATGTGGAATTGAATGTTCTTTGGAGATGCATTTAGTTCTCTATAAAGTCCAGTTTGCATTTATTTGATGTAACAGGTTGAGTGCAATGGTTTTGTGGGGTAATAAAAATGAAGTAATTCATAGTATTTGCTAGTAGGGGTGTCAAAACAAAAATAACAGCCCCAGACTGAAAGACAGAAATTATGTTGATTAATTGGCTTTTTCTGGTATGGTGGGTATTAATGGCACTGGAACAGGGTCGGGGGAAATAAGATGGTATCCCAAGGGATAGCACAAGTAGGGGGTCAAGTGAGCATTAAATGTCTCTGTTAGGATATCCATATGTCTTACTTTCCAGAAGAAAGTATTGTTGTATGCATCCAAATCTCCAAGCAGTGAGATACTCCATGTTTTCCACAGCTTATCCAGTGTTCGGTTTCATTTGAATGGAGGTCTGTGGAAACTGTGATGTCTTTAGAATATACCGTATTTTACCGTGTATAAGACAATATTTTATCCTATAAGGTAATAGTGTGCGATTTGCATTAGTGGGCAGGTTGTAGAGCGATTGGCTCAACTTTGGGCAATTTCCTCCCCAAACTTTTTTGTTGTGGTCCAAAAAAAAGGGGTCATCTTATACATGGGGCGTATGTTATACACGGAAAAATATGGTACTGTTTTATTTACACACATGTATAACCTGAGCATATCATGGAAGGAAGGGCCCACACTCCAATAGACACTCCAATAGATCTTGATTCCCCATTAGGTTCCCACAGAGTTCCCCAGATCATTGCTTTGGGTCAAGCACAGAGCAGAAGAATCCTCTTTTTCCTTTTCACTCCCAAGCTTCAGTCAAACTCACCCCCACACAAACTGTGGCTATTATTCTTCTACTTTACAAGGTGATGCCACTTCCAACTTCCATTTGTCTCTATGGCAACAGGGCAGACTGTTTGGGCACGTAAATGGTGGTTCTTCACTGGCCAGCTAAAAGAATTATTTTTACAAAAAAACTGGTCTGACTGGTTTAGTATGTTTCCTCTTATAGATTCTAACCCCGCAGATACAAGAACTTAGATCTGGAAGGGACCCTTAGAAATCATCCAGTCTGACCCACCAATCCTATAACTCTGGGAATTAGACTCTAGTTCCCATTTGCAAAGTATGCGGAAAATAGCCCTGGTTCATTTCACCCTTTAATTAGTTCTCTTTTCCCCTCCTTAAAAAACTACGCAAGACACTCTCTTTTAAAGTTTAAAAGAACATGCAACTTTTACTTACTGCACTTGCAGTTGCAGATTAATTATACTGTGCAGGTGGATGTTTCTTAAAACGCTAATACGTCGTTCATAGATTAAACTGTTGCAGACAAACTAACTGAGGCAGACAGCAGCACATCAGAACCTACCTGCTGCTCTAAATGCTAAGACTGTTTATGCCAACTGGCATAACTGCCTCAGGTGAATGACAGCACAGAATTCTACAGCTTTTGCAATTAACCCTTTACATATGCATTTTGGATGCTAACATCCCACATGCTATAATAGTATGTTTCTAGGGTATGCAGAAGGTAGATCTTTTGATTCCGCACAAATAACACCACAACATTCATTAAACTCTCCCCTGAGCATGCATAGTGGCTATCTCAAGTGTACGTACCATTCTTAGGGTGAGCTCTCCTTTAAAAACTAGCAATGGGATTGTGCATTCTAAGCTTTTGATTGCTGTTGTTGCTAAATTAAGCTGCTGAGATGAAGAAAGTTTTGTGTGACGGGTCTGAACTCAGTTTTGGTACTGAAAACAAAATCCTGTGCTGAGCATTTGCTCAGAGGCACCCTGTACTTTAATTATTTGCCCACATCTGCTCTCCTGCACCCTTTTTTTTAAAAAAAAAAATTTCACCTGGCTCCGCTTGTGGTTTTCCAGTTAAAAAACCCCAGGTTGATTCAACAACCTTGTTGTCTGCCCACTCCTGCTTCTCTCTCTGAAGGGCTGTCTAGTCAAGATAAAGAGTAATCTGAGGCACCGAGTTCCACACAACATTGGGGAATAACATTGGCTGCTTGTGTGTGTGTGATGTCACACGTGATACCATGCATGTTGGGAGGAGGCCACGAGGCCCAGGGCGGACCTCTGCTGCTGTGGGTAGGCACGACAGGGCCCTCCACCACCACCATGGACAGGGCCTGGCCACTCAAGACTGGGGAGGCTCAGTTCTATCTCCGCATGCTTGGGGGGTGGGGCTGAGCTGTCCTCAACCCCATAGAGTTGGTGCCTATGGTAAGGGAGAGCAGCAGCAGTTGTCCATCAACTGTTACTCTCAGGGCAGAGGACTGAGAGTTGTATTCTGTAGTGCTAAGTTAAAGTCGCTCAGCAGCATGCTTGTGCCAGCGGTGAAATGTATTGTACCGGCTGCACAAGAGAATGCATAAGCAGATTGCAATCTCTGCGCAGTTTATTGGGCAATGAGCTTCCATGGGCACAACTTGCATTGGATTTCTGTGTTGTGTTGTTGTTGTTGTTTAGTCATTTAGTCGTGTCCGACTCTTTGTGACCCCATGGACCAGAGCACGCCAGGCACTCCTATCTTCCACTGCCTCCCGCAGTTTGGTCAGACTCATGTTTGTGGCTTCGAGAACACTGTCCAACCATCTCGTCCTCTGTCATCCCCTTCTCCTGTGTTGTACAATGTTCTAATTCCCCTAGTGGAAGAGAAAGCTGGATACAGCTCTGAGCAGGCAGACAGGTAAATTGACCACAGTCTTTTTTTGCTATGGTGAGATGTAGTCTGTTCTTGTTAAATTTCAGCCATTATTTCTAAGTTTGCATATATAAAATTAATTAGCATATACTATTTTATGCAAGTTTGTGTCCTCTTCTTTTGTTGATACATATGTGGCCACCTTGGTCTCTGAATTGGACTGATAGTAAAATGTGATGGACAGTAAGAATGCTGTTTTGCATATTAAAGGAAACATAAGAAAGCAAGTATATGGTACATGAAAATGCAGTTGATGAAAAAAATTTTTGGTCCAAACCTTGAGAATTCTCTGGAACCTTTAAGGGTTGCACAGTCTGATAGCTCCATGTTTTCCTGCTATCGCAGCACATGGTGCCAAGAAAAAAATGCATTTATCAAAAGCCACCCTTTTATACAACTTGTTAAAGTGCAGCAGCCCATTAAGGACCTGCACTTGGCAACAAAGTAAATGTGATTTGAGCTAGTTGGAAATGCCAGCTGGGTTTCAGCCCTAGGGCAGAATAGATAATAGGAAACAGGTCTTCATATAAATATAAACCTGTCGTGTCCTTTTGCAAAAATGGCAAACCACTCTACCAGCAATTCCGGCCATGTTTGACCTAAATGACACTTGCAAGCAAGTAGCTAACCTCCTGTTGTTGACTTGTCTTCAGAACATAACTAAAAGCTTTGGCGGTGTCTCCCACCCACCTGTAAGCTTTCTATAGCCCAGATTTCGAGAAGAGCAGGTGGGAGGCAACAACTGCAAAGTAAACATAATTTGTGTATAATGACTGCGCACTTAAGCCATGTTTTCCTGCAGCCTTGTTTTGAGCAATGGTTTGCTGTTGCCTATAAAACTGGGGAAGATGAAGCCTCATGGGCAGAAAGATAATGTACTGCTGCATGCCACCCCAGTCTCTGAGTGGTGTGCGATTGCAGGGGTTCCAGATACTTACGCTGGGTTCGGTTTCCTTGGAGTGAAGGATAGCGGACATTGTGATGTCTATGTGATATGGTTCATTTACATATATACAACCTGATCTTAAGATAGAGGGGCTCACAGCATTAACACCCCAGAAGGTATTGCTTCTCCCATAGTCATAGCCTTAGATTTAAGCAGAAATCATGCATGGCTCTCACTCTCTGGCTTCTACCAGCTTCAGCCTGCTTCTAGCTCAGCTCTGTGCCACACACCTGCAGGAGACTGCAGGAGGAGGAGAAGGAGCCAGCCACTGGAGCTGCTCCACCTTCTGCTCTGTGCTTCGCCTCTGCTCTTTTTGGACATGGGGGGCAGCCCCAACTCCCAAAATATAGAGGGGGGGCAAAGGAGCTGGAGCTCGTGCCCCTGAAGATGGGTTAGGTCCATAGCTCGGTTGTAGAGCATCTGTGTTGCATGCAAAAGGTCCCAATTTCAATCCCTGGCATCTCTGGGTAAGGCTGTAAAAACTCCCTGTCCAACACCCATGGGAGTGATGCTTCCAGTCAGTATAGATAATACTGAACTAGGTGGAACAATGATCTGACAGTTCCACTGATATAAGGCAGTTTCCTATGTTCCTTTAGTGGGGAAGATCCATAGGTGATAAAAACATCCCCATAGCGTTCAGAAAAGTTCACATGAAGCCAACCATTTATTTGTCTGATGCTGAGAATGCTGGGGCAGCTTCTGCTGAATGAAACTCTGTTAAGGGTTCAGAATAGCTCTTTTGTTCCATCTTTAGTTACTGGAACCTGGTTATCCTATGCCATCAGCTGCTTATTATAGATCTCAAAAATTTTCCACATGACCCCTGTTTAGGCATCTACCTGGCTGACGTAACAGAGCTCGTTCTGGAACAAAGGTGAATTTATTTTGAACAGAGACAGGAACAAAGAGGCAGGATCACTGCTGACACTCTGTTACGGAGTGTTTCTAGAGCTTGGTTGGTATATCTGAGCTTTTGACAGCTCCCCTAATTTCTTCTGGCACAAATTAATTTTTTGTTTGGCCAAATGTCAATGCGGCTCTGAGATCTGAGTTGCATTGACATTTGTCAAACACAGATTAAATCAGTGATGTGATTTTTTGGCAGATAGCTCAGTGGGTAGAGCATGAGACTCTTCATCTCAGGGCTGTGGGTTTGAGTCTCATGTTGGGCAAAATATCCCTGCATTGCAGGGGGTTGGACTAGATGACCCTCACTGACCTCTTCCAACCCTACAGTTCTATTATTCTATGAACCTTCTCTTTGCTGCTATTGATTTTCCTGGTTACATTTGTGACAGATGTTAGACAGAGGTCTCATCAAACAATCTAGAATTTCATGCAGGTGGTTTACAAGAGGATGGAGTTCATCTTGGCACTCCACTTGAAGGAGCGCATCTAAAGGGGAGAGAAAGAGAGCCAAGTTAAGATAGCCCCTTCCAAGCAAGGATAGGGAACCTGTGACCCTCCAAGTGTTGTTGGGCTCCAGCTCCCATCAGCCTCAGCTGTCATGCTCAGGGATGATGGGAGTTGCTGTCCAACAATACCTTGAGGTCTACAGGTCCACTCCACCCAATGAAGACTAAGGGCACTAAAAGCATCACACATCAAAGGGTTGGGTAATGTGATATAGTTAGATTACAACTTCCTTTGTCTTTGGCCATTGGCCATGCTGACTGGAGCTGATGGGAGTTTGAGTTTGAGTCCAACCACATCTGGTTGGCAACAGGTTCACACCCCTGTTCACAAGGCACTGTGCGAGCGCCTGCAAAAGCCACAAGTTAGGAGTGGAGGCAGAGCAGAATATTTAAAGGTGAACGGGCCTGTTTTTCTAGAGAAAAGTTTTTTAACGTACAATCTGTAACATTCTTTTCAAAGCAGCAAGGAAGCTGGGGTATTGCTTACAGCTACTTGCAATGTGCAAACAGCCAGTCATCAGATTTTATATATTGAAAAGATTAACCTAACAAAATTTTAATAAAGAAAAAAAAAGTCAAGGACATTTCATTTTTAAAAGTATTCTGAATCTGAATAAACCTCAGTGTTCTTAACGTGTGTTCCTCAGGCTGCACTCCTGAACACACTTTGCTAGGAAAAAGTCCCATTCAACACAATGGATGTTACTTTTGAGTAGGCATGTATGATATTGCAGTGTATATCTATAATCTTAAACACATTTATTTAGGAATAATTCCCATTGAGCTCAGTGGAACTTTCTTCCAAGTAAACAAACATAGCATCAGGCTGAAAATCTTGTTTGAAAAATAAGGAACAGCCAAAGTTTAAGAAGTAGCAATGTTATTACCATCTTCAAGCAAAAGCTTTTCTGTCTGAGGAATGTTAATGCAACTGAATTTGAAGAAGTAGTAGTACCATTGTTTCCAATTACAGAGATATTTGTGGGAGTACTTCCCTAAGCTGTGTTTGGTAGAAAGTGACCCTGAGCTCTAAATGCAGACAGCTCTTTGTATCTACTTCATCTGTCCAATATAGTCTCAAATGGGGTTGCAAATGACATCTCACCTGCAGCACTTGAATCTTCATCTGTTCGACAAACTAATTTCCTACAAGGCTGAACTTCAAAGTGCCAAAGAGGGTAGCAGATTATCTCTGTACAAAATAGGATCGTTCAGCAGACATTAATAATAAACCATTAAATCCTTCCATTGCAGATTATAGGAATAAGAGATTTGAAACTAGCCACAACACTGAACAACAACTTGTTTTGCTGCAAAACATGTCTTAAGAGGCAAACAAATTTCAAAACCCACTTTAGAAAATGACCCACTGTTCTATATTACAGAGAAGCTTTTGAAGTCAATTAGACCCTGATTATTTGTACACTAGACAAATATTTAAAAAAACCAAAATGATTTTTATTTTATTTTTTGCTGTGGTCATCCACTTGTTAGCTTCCAACTTAAAAAGGAGGGATATGAAAATAAACAAGCACATTTTCTATCCCTGTGAAGAGAGCCCTTCCTTAAAGCATTTTAATCAAATCAGGGTTTGTACATATTAGTGGCAAAAATACAGGGGTTGTTACCACTCATGCTGCTATTTAAGTTGCATTTTCACATTGCTGTACACATCAGAGAGAGGCAGGGATGTCTTCATCAAATATGCATTACCTAATTTGTTTCCCCACGTCTGCAACCCCTTGAACTATTTTTCAACAAAGTTGTTGGCTGCACATGTGCAATGGTATCTCAAATATTCACACCATAGCTGTCAACTTTCAGATTTGAAAATAAGGGATCAGCAGCCTCGAAAATAAGGGATCAGCAGCCTCACCTGTCCCGGGGACTGTCTACGGGACATCTAACTATCCGGGATAGCAGCGGGAAGCAGCAGGAAACGGCGCTGGAATAAGGGAATTTCCCGCAAAAAAAAGAGAAGGTTGACAGCTATGGTTCACACCTCAGCTTAACTGCAGTTTATGTTGGATGGAAGCTAGTTTGAGGAATAATGCACCAAGCAGCAGTATTTCTCAAGAAACTACAGAATACCTATGGCTTGTGGCTAATGTAATTTGTACAAAGGCCAGGGTAAAGAGGTGTGTCTTAAGGTAGCGTTGGGGAAAACTCCTATTTCAAGCCATGGAGAATCATTGCCAGCCACTATAGACAATACAAAGCTAGATCAATCAGTGAGTTTGACTCAGGCCACATTTATACCATACTTTTAAAGCACTATGGTGCCACTTCAAACATGGGACTCAGCTACTTTAGTAAAGAAAAAGTGTTTTATACACATTATAACACTGTGACACCAGATGGCACTGTGGAGTCCTGTCTTTTGCCAACATGATTTCCCAATATGAGGTTTACAACGTGTTTAACTGAATCTCTATTTTGATGTGTCTAGATCCAGCCAAGCACAGCTTTCCCCAAAGAATTCTGGGTGCTGCATTTTGATAAGAGTGCTGATCGTTCTTAGGAGACCCTGTTCCCCTCAGAGAACCACAATCCCCCAAATTTCCTGGGAAGAGGGCTTGCCTGTTAAACCACTTTGGGAGTTGTAGTTGGGAGGGAAATAAGGGTCTCCTAACCACTGCTCCCAGAATTCTTCGGCTGAAGTGGTAACATAGAGCTTTAGATATATGGTGAGACTGTGGCCACAGTATAAGGCAAGGCAACTTTCTTTATTTCTTTTCCCTAGCCATCCATTCATTACCGACTGACACTAAACTTCTATCCTAATCAATGAAACTATTTCTGCTCAGCAGAGAACACTGTTGGCTTTTCAAGCAGATTTCTTCTGCTTATTGGCTCTGATGGTGAGTCAAGGCGATCCACACATTTCCTTCACTTTATATGACTTCCTTGACTGACTTTCTCCTCGAGGAGCTGAGCATGTTTGTCAACGGCAGTCATGTTGCAGCGATGTTGCATCGTGCTGCTAGCCAGGACAAAATCAGAAGGAAGACTCAAAGGTGGTATAAAAAGAATTATTTTCCCCGCTGCTGGAAGTTAACAGTCCTGTCTATTATTTTCCAATGGCAGAAGAAGATTTGTTTAGTTCCTGAAACAGCCTTGGGCAAGGGAATGGAACATTTATGCAATAATGAGCTAAATGACTGAAGTCCCTCTGGATTAAGCTGAATGCACACCGTGAGCGGTCCAACATCTTGCTTCCAACAGCAGTGAGCCATGCGTTTTTTTGCCAAGCCTACAAGCAGGACAGGGCAATAGCCCTGTGCCACAGTTTGTCCTTTAGGATCTATCATTCGGAGGTATCATCTGACATAGAGATCCCTTATTATTACCCCTCCCTTTAACAGCAAGCTCAAGCATTGAGTGCCAATGCCCAGTGATTCCCAAAAGGGTGTGGCATGCTGCATTACTGTGGCAGAAAAGGATGGCAAGTGTGGTGATAAGATTCAAGGACAATTAAAGAAACATATAAAACTTCCAATGTAGTATAGTATAGCATTAAAAAAATGCTTTATTTGCCGAATATAGATAGGTATATTTTCACTGCTCGTTGAGTTTGTCTACATACTGAGGGTACATTTGTAAGATGCTCGTTTGTAACTACATTTTGGGAATGAATCTTGTTCTTATGTAGCTGCATTGTTTCAAACTTTCTGGATGTCTCATGATCCTATCATATAGTCATTGTGTTCCATTTTATAAATCAAGCACTGCTAGGAGTTGTTTGTGATTTTCCCCTTCAATGCATATCTTATCAATTAAAAAATTGCTTTGGTGTGAGCAGATTTTTATTATGAAAGTGTAGCCCAGAGAAAAATAGTTTGAGAACCACAGGGTTTGACAGTCAAAATGGGGACTCTGGGAAACAAAAGAGAGGTGTCTGCAAGGTCAGGGGAAACCCAAATTTTATGTAAGTGCCAAAATCCTTCCATAAGGTCACTCCCCACTCCCCCGGCAACAGTACAAAGGGGTCTGAGTATGTTCATGGGTCCCAGAATACTCTGCCTGTTAGAAGGGAGAATGGAAATAATGCAAGGAACATAATCCTGGAACATGGCACGGGGGGGGGGGAGGGCTGCAACTCTGAAGAGGAGCACTTTATGCTGCAACACTGGGTTGCAGGTTCCATGTGTAAATGCCAGTGGGCATTCATAGATGATTCTCCATTAATTTGACTACTTCCCATTTTAAAGCTAAGTATGACAAAGAAGCCCTACCGTAAGGACAGCATATTTTGGAAGACCAGTAAATGAAGATACATGTGTATGTTTCTTTCTAATGATATATACTGGTGTATATATAAATATCAGAATATTTCAATATTCAAACTACCCTCATTCTTAAAAGTAATTATGCAGGATGCAATCCTGCTGCTTAAACTCTATCTGCATATAAGCAAAATTTCAGCAGCCCAAGAGTCACAAATCTGAGCAATCATTTCCAAAATTGGTGATGGTCCATGCTGATGTTTAAGGGTTGCATCCAACTACTTTCTACTCAGAGTAAATTCATTGGAATTAATGGACCTGAGATAGTCTATTAATTTCAGTGGGTCTATTTTTTTGGATAATATTTTTATTGATTTTTTACATAACAAATTTAAATTCACATCCATCCATCACCTCCTCATTTAGGATTCTCTGAATCCCTTGACTTCCCTCTGCCCTTCCATGGTTATCATTATCAATCCAATTTTCTATCTGCTTATCTTATTTTCTCTAATTTTTAAAAGTATATTGTCCATTTTCCTCTCTTTTTTTGTACATTACAAGCATTACTCAAATCCTGCCAAAGTTTTTTAGTTGTTTACACTATTCTCTTAAGTACATTATAATTTTTTCCCATTCCTTCTTTAAAATTTCCTCTTCCTGGTTTCTGATTTTCCCAGTCATTTTCGCCATTTCCGCATAGTCCATCATCTTCATCAGCTATTCCTCTCTGGTTGGAACTTCATCTTCTTTCCATCTCTGGGCTAGTAATATTCTCGCTGCTGTCCCTGAATACATGAATAATCTTTTTTGCTCTCTCGGAATCTCTGTACCTAAAATGCCTTACAAAAATGCATCTGTTTTTTTCACAAATGTTATTTCAAACATTTTTTTCAACTCATTATGAATCATTTCCCAGAATGCTTTAGTCATCTTGCACGTCCACCACATATGGTAGAATGTGCCTTCTTTCTCCTTACATTTCCAGCAAACATTAGAAGCACTTCTATACATTTTCGCTAATTTTACTGGTGTTAAATACCACCTATGCATCATTTTGAGCATTGGATAGAACCCTCAGGATTAATAAATTCAACCACACACAAAAACACATTTGGAAGAACAACACACACACACACACCACTCCACAAAAAAGGTAAAAATGTGAAATCTAAAGCAAGTACCCAGGAAAGCAGAGTTCGTGAGTCCCTGGATGTTCTTTTCCCACTGCTAACTGCTTCCCCCTGAAAATCGAAACAGCTTGTGACATATAGCGCAAAGTACTCAGAGTGAAGTCCCAGCTCCTAATATTGTATTTTTTTTTTTTTTTGGAAGACAGACAGTTCTCTTACCACATACACAAATATTGATCTGTTCTTCTTGGCTGCCTACTGTGACATTGCAGCCTTGCTGCTTTTTACACCAACAGAAGGTGTTTTGTGATTTGTACGGTTGCCATCCTTTTACAATAATATTACTGAGGCATAAGATTTGGTTCCAGGAATTTTCTGCATCTGGCATATCCAAGCTAAAACATTTCTTGAAGCAACCCAGGAGGAAGAAGAGATGAGGACTGGTGTGGATTTTTCTTGCAAAAGGGAGAAAGCTGTTAAAACAAACACCGCAAATATATCCCAGACCTTAGAACAATACAATATCTTCTCCCTGTAATTGAATCAAAATATTTGCTCTACAAATGGGGGAAGACTTCGTAAATCCGTGGCTTCAGACGAGAGTGGTCTTTTTGAAACTCAGATATATAATAGATCAAAAGGCATTAAATTCCCAGTATACCTAAAACGCCATATTCTCCAAGGTACGTAACAGCCTTTCCAAATAAAATCTTAAGTAAGCTTTATGAAAATAACCGTTGTAAAGGTGGGAAATGTATAGGTTTTATGTAATGTGCTGTTTCTCAGTTGTTGACCTCAGTACACTTGAACTTGTAGTGTGGATCTTCTGTAGCTTTTAAATAAAGTCACTCCCCTCTTAAGGAACTCTGGCCATTGTTGCTCTGTGAGCACGAGAACAAAGGCAGTAGGGATCAGAGTTAATGTATCTTATTTCCTCAAGTACCTTAAGAGTCCCACTGTGTCTGGTATGTTCAAAGCCAACTGGTTATTCAAGATTATGGTTATTTTCATCCCCAGCCACACTTTTAGGTTTACTTATATTTCTGCCACTTAGCTCCTCACTGAAGTAGGCTGCCCCAGAACCTCTCTTCTTGGTTTCCTCCTCCCTTAATAATGCCTGCCATCCCTTCTTATTCAGATGCATTCCTGCATTGCAGGGGGTTGGACTAGATGGCCCTTGTGGTCCCTTCCAACTCAATTATTCTGTGATTCAATGATTATAATTAATCTGTCGGTATCATAGGCCCCTGGAAGCTGTCATCATGCCACAGCAGCCACACCCTGGGAACAGCTTCAACTGGCCGACTAAACCAGTTGACCATAGGCAGTGGGTCTTGGTGAGTTAAGGACTTCTCCTGCATGCAAAGACAGGCTCTGGCAGATTGAGTAAACAAGACCAATATTTGGTCCAATGGTCAAGAAGGCAATTTCTGCACAGTGGTGAAGATGGGGCTCATCAACCTGGGAAGGTAGCCCATCTAGGAGAAGGAAAACTCTTATCCTAAACCTCTGCTGCCTTGCAGAATATCTTCAGAAGAAAAAGCTAAGGAGTGAACCCTATACAAATCTGGTGTGGAGTCCCTAAGGCAGTTGGATGGTGCCTTGCACGCATCCTTCCAGCAACAACTGCAGCTAAATTGGTGCCAAACATATTGTTCTGCTTTTTTTTGGACCATATCAGTGAGGCCGAGAGGGGGGCCTTGTCGTTTGGGCAGCCCAGGACCACCAGACAAATTGCCCAGTCCTGCATCCTGGGAAGGTCACTTTGGTGCTACTAATGCAGCAGTGTGACTTTAACCGCAGAGTAGCACCCCACTGTCTCTCAAGACAGATGGATGCCAACAGCATCATAGGCCCCATCTGCACTGTACATGCAATGTGGTATCATACTGCTTTCAGCAGTTATGGCTTCCCCAGGGAGTTGTAGATTGTTGATTTTGAGATCCCGCACAATACAACAAACCCCGGCCCCCCATATGATTTTTGCAGTAGGGAAAGTGACAGGAGGGTGCAGTAGAAAGTGTGACATAACATTATCTAACCTCCTCACAAACAAATCAGAATGAATCCTCAATAGCCTGGAGAAGAGGAGACTGACAGGAGATATGAAAACCATATTCGAATATATTAATGGCCGTCACATAGAAGAGGAAGCATGCTTGTTTTCTCCTGCTCTGGAAGGTAGGACTCGAACCAATGGCTTCAAGTTACAAGAAAGGAGATTCCAACTAAACATTTGGAAAAGCTTTCTGACAGTCAGAGCTGTTCGGCAGTGGAACAGACTCCCACGAGAGGTGGTGGGCTCTCCTTCCTTGGAGGTTTGTAAGCAGATGTTGGATGGCCATCTGTCATGGATGCTTTAGCTGAGATTCCTGCATTGCAGGGGGTTGGACTAGATGATCCTTGGGTCCCTTCCAATTCTAAGATTTTATGATTCTTTGATTCTAAACAGGTGGTCTGGAAGTATGGGTGAGGGAGAGATTGATTCAGTTTGCATTTAATGGTGAATCTACAAAAAAAAATCACAGTGAAATAATACATGAACGAAAACACAGCTATCCTTTAGAATTCCCTGTAACCCGAATTTTGTGATGTAGTTGTCCGGTCAAACTATGGGTACAAAAATATTAGGGGAAAGTATGCATTAAACAATGTATTATGGAAAATGGCATAACAAAATGCATTATATATGGGGAAACAGCTTGCAAAAAAGTATACATGAGTTAAAACTATATGAAAATGAGAATGGCGGGGGGCGGGTGTCACAAATTGCAGAGAACCACATCTAAGTCTGGAAAAATGAGAAACGGACAGGGTCAAAATGGACAGATACTTCTATCTCTGTTTGAAAGCAATCTCAGAGAGAATGTTTGCAATTTAGTACAGGCTAGAACCTGCTCTGCACTTGTCCCTCTGCGGATGTTAGAAATAGGATGCTTTTGATCCCTCTGCTCTTTTGAATTTGTCCATCCGGAATGTGGCTGATCCCTGCTCTCATTTCCATTATCTGGGTTGATCTAGGAATGTTGTGTGGGGAAGAACGAACCTGCCTTTGTTACTGTACCTATCAAAACCAGCCCGGTCATTTCCAGCCACACAATTTTATGATCCTAGAAAATAAATTTTAAAATTCCCCCAGAAACATGAAAAGCAGAATACTAGGTTTTGTGACTCATTTCATAAGCAGATGTAAAAGAAAATATGTTGTGTTTCTTATCACTGTAATATAAAAGGGAAGGATCTATTATTTTGGTAAATCGATAGAAGAAACAGATGTCCCAGGAAGTGATGGTTGATTTTCTTTGAAGGATATTTACTGCTTGTTTATCTCACCTTTGCTTAAGTACCATACACACTTTCCCCTCCAGTCCTTTAATCTTCACAACAATCAAGTAAGATGGGTTTGTCTTGAAGAAAGTAACCGACCCATGATCACCCAGTGAGCTCCATGGCTGAGTAGAGACTTAAACTCAGGTCCCTCTCTTCCTAGTCTTCAGATATGTATGCACCATACATTTAAAGGACATCAAAAGCATGTCACACCCACTCAAAAGAATCCTGAGAACTGTAGGTGATCAAGAATGCTGGGAATGGTAGCTCTCCAAGTAGTAAACTACAGTTCTCAGGATTCTTAGTGGTTTCGATGTGCTTTATGGCACGCATGCAACCTGACACTAATTCCTAAAGAGAAGTTTGGCTTGGAAAAAGACAGAAGTCTTTAATCAAAGCTCCTGTTTGTGTTTGCTGTAAGAAGGACAAGCAACAACAACTGATGCTTAAGCAATTGCTTGTCACCTGCTGGATGCGAAAATCCATCTGATTGTTATTAAGGTTGATTAAATTTGCAATGCTGATAGATCTGTAGCAAGTCTCCCCCTCTACCTTCCCATGGCTTGAGGTGATGTCATCAAAGTGTGCGGCAATAACAATGGCAGGGCTGGAACTGGGGTCAAAAGAGCCCTGACTTTCTGGGAAATTTTTGATTCACTCTAGAATAAATTCAATGTCACATTTTAATTACAATTCTGAGTCCTGGGGCTTCCATACTCAGCTTGCTACCTGTATGCCTAGGCACCTCAGGGCATTTGGGGAAATGTATAATGACAGGTCATAACAGACCCTCCAAGTGTTCCTATTCTCCAGGGACATTTTTTATTTAGAGAAGCCGTCCCGGTTTCTGATTTGATCTTGGAATGTCCCGCTTTCCCTAGGACGTCCCTATTTTCATTGGAGAAACGTATGGAATTATCCAACCCCTGAGCCATCTGAAGGCAATCCTGTATAGGGAAGTGTAGTGGTTCAAGGGGTTGCTCGTGCGTAAGCCGGTGCCCACACCTGACTGGGTTGCCTAAGTGAACCTTTTCTGTCCGGACAGCCACTCACCCGTGGCTGTCTCAATCGCTGGCAGAATCCGTCAGTGGGCGTTTCTTAAACTTCTTCCAGCAAAGTTCTTTCACGCCCAGTCGCCTCCTACTTTCCCTGCGCGGAAGCCTTCTGCGCAAAGAAGGCGTAGGCAGCGGAGGACCCTTCCTCCCCCCACTGGTCCCAGGCAAGGAGTCATGTGACTCTCTCTCAGATTCCCCCATCTGCCCCCCTTCTCCACTGGAGCTGAGCTGATTCCCTTCCCCAGAAGATGGGCTGCCTCTCCCAATCCCGTGACGCTCTCTGGGATCCCTCTGGAGCTCTCTCTCTCCCTCCGGCACTGGTGGCAGTTCCCTGACAGGAAGTTTTTGGGTTTTTTAAACATTTAATATTTTATTATGTTTTTATATATGTTGGCAGCTGCCCAGAGTGGCTTGGGCAACCCAGTAAAATGTGTGGGGTATAAATAGTAAAATTATCATTATGGAATGGGACGTCCCTATTTTCATCAGAGAAATGTTGGCGGGTATGAACTGACTGCTACCTGGAGTGGGAACCCCAGAATTGGCATTGGCACCACTGGGATCTTCCAGGAGCCCTGGAGCCCTGGCAGGTGCCTGCTAGTGTCAGGAGGTGCTGACCCCAGGCCTGGATAGCTGCATCATATACTCTCAGATCTTATCCCATGCAGAGATTTCTTCCTGATTTACTTACCACACCACATTTGTTTTTCAATGTGTTTGTGTAGCAACGGGGACTGTACGTTGTCACAAATGACTCAAGGTAATTCTTATCGTAGCAGTGTTTTCCCTTTCTGATTAAATGTCTGCAGGCTCCTCATACCTCAGCCAGACATTTATTTACATACCCCTCTCTTGCCCTGCTTCCTCCGTGCACTGGCTACATTTCTCGTCATTAGTTTTGCTTTTGCAGCCACAATTTTATTCGTTAATCTTGCAAACTGAGTGCAGGTCAAGATGGCTGCATGCCAGCATTATAGGTTGCGGGGAGCAAAACGAAAAATGAAAAACAAGCAGCACGTGTCAAGATGAGATGGGAATTACAGGAAGGTCCTGGTACCTTGCCAAATAGCAATGCATAATGCCTACTCTGTTGTCAGATAAACGTGGCCTGACTCCCATACCTTTTGGGACGTTTCCCATTAGTACTGCTCTCAGAAGGCTACAGGAAGAGGGTGTTTGTTTGTTTGTTTGTTTGTTTGTTTGTTTGTTTGTTTTACCAAGGTTGTTGTTCTTTAGTCATTTAGTCGTGTCCGACTCTTCGTGACCCCATGGACCAGAGCACGCCAGGCCCTCCTGTCTTCCACTACCTCCCGCAGTTTGGTCAGACTCATGTTTGTAGCGTCAAGAACACTGTCCCACCATCTCTCCCTCTGTCGTCCCCTTCTCCTTGTGCCCTCAATCTTTCCCAACATCAGGGTCTTTTCCAGGGAGTCTTCTCTTCTCATGAGGTGGCCAAAGTATTGGAGCCTCAGCTTCAGGATCTGTCCTTCCAGTGAGCACTCAGGCTGATTTCCTTCAGAATGGAGAGGTTTGATCTTCTTGCAGTCCATGGGACTCTCAAGAGTCTCCTCCAGCACCATAATTCAAAAGCATCGATTCTTCAGTGATCAGCCTTCTTTATGGTCCAGCTCTCACTTCCATACATCACTACTGGGAAACCATAGCTATAACTATACGGACCTTTGTTGGCAGGGTGATTAACTCAAAGTAAACCTTGTAAGCCACTGCCAGTCAGTGAAAACAATACTGAGCTAAATAACCCAATGGAGTGGAGTGCCTTCCATCAGATGTGCACTTATCTGGACAGGGATAGCCTAACATCTGTTGTCTATGCTCTGGAAACCTCTAGGTTAGATTACTGGTACTATCTGAAAACGGGTTTGGAAACTGTAGCTGGTGCAAGATCAGCAGTCAGGTTGCTCATCGGGGCAAAATGGTTTGAACATATCACACCGATCCCGGCCCGGCTGCACTGACTGCCAGTTAGCTTCCTGGACCAATTCAAAGTGCTGGTTTTGCATTATAAAGCCTTAAACAGCTCAGGACCGCAATACCTCCAGGACTACCTCTCTCCACATGAACCTACCTGGACCCTGCAAATAATCATCTGAGGCCCGGGGGTGGGACAACACAAAAATGGGCCTTTTCTGCAGTGGCTCCCCATATGTGGAATGCTTTGCCCAGAGAGGTTCGTCTGGCTCCTTCATTAAATATATTTAGGTGCCAGGCTCAAACGTTTCTCTTCAACTGAGCCTTTGGCTGATTAACATTCTATGTCCTTTTAAATGTGTTTCTGGCAGGGAGGTTAATGGTTTGGTTTGGTTTTATTATGTTATTTTGTATTTTGTGTTCTCATTTTGTACTTTTTATGTTGTGATCTTTGAATGAAAGATGGTATACAGAATGAATGAATGTGCTTCCTATGTTCCAGTTTTGCTGCTAGTACTGTAGCTGGGGCCCACCAACTGTGTTAAAATTAGCCAATTGGGAGCGGGGGCATGGAGGTAATCATTAACATTTTGCAATATATGTTTTTTCCTCCTAAAAGAAAACCTGCAGCTGGAGGCATTATGGATGCACAACTTCCTGCAAAGCAATTAGAAATATGATGAAATGAAACCTGGGTACACAGACACAAAAAGACTTATGAATATCAATGCTGGAGAGACCTACTCAACTATAACAGGAGCAGTATTTCAAAATGCACCTTCTGCTTCCAAGCACTTCTTTTCTTTCAGAAAGAAAAAAGGGAAAGGAAAGAAAGGAGAAATTTTCAGCACCCTCTTGATAGCATTCAAGACTTTCCACCTCTGTTGCTCTCTTTTAAAAAAGCAATTCTGAGAAATAATAATAACAATAATATGGAAATACTTATTTTGCAATCACTTTTAGCTGCTGGGCTAAAACTGGTAGTTTAGCAATAATTCTCAGCCCCAGGATCTGGGTTTACTGTGCCAGCAATGGGCAGCTCCCAGCAGTGGTATCTGGTGATCACTAGGACCGGTGGGTTGGAAGGCAGAGGAGCCAACAGGAGCTGCAGCCAGAGTCAATGCCAGGCATAATCCAACTATGATACCACATTAAGCAGTCATGGTTTCCCTCAAAGAATTATAGGAGCTGTAGTTCATTAAGGGTTCTAAGTACTGTAGTTTTCCGTGTATAAGACAATGGTTTTTTATTGTAAATGAATGTTAAAAATTGGGGGTGAGTGATTTTTGGCAACCCCCCCCAAAAGCTCAACAACTCTGGGCAATCCCCCCCAAAAAGCTTAAGAACTCAGGGAAATCTCCCCCTATTTTCTTAATTTTGGGTCCCCAAAAATAGGGGTCGTCTTATACACGGGGGCGTGTTATACATGGAAAAATATGGTATATTGTACTGTGATTTACAGAGGTACTGCAATGTACAGGTTAGGGCCTAGGAGACCTGGGTTCAAAACCTCACTCAGCCTTTAAGCCCACTGTATGCCCCTGGAGCAATTGCTGTGATTTCTACTTTGGTGAATGATGTCTGCTGCCTGCAATCTTCTGTCTACTTACATGAGAGTAAGTTGCATCAAGCTCCTTTCTTAATTCACCTGGGAAACAAGTCATTGTGGTTGATGCAGTATTAAAGCAGCATTACTCACAAGGGAAGGGGATCGTGTCCTAGATGCTGCACCAGCTCAAGGTCCCACTGTTCAGGCCCCACCTTTGGCATTCTGATTTGAAAGTCCCACTTAGGGCCGCAGTATAGCTTACCGTCACCCTTTGGACCCAACCCATACACCAACCAGAGCACACTTTAGGCGGACATCACAATTCTAACTCTTTACTCCTGTTATTGCTTGCTCAGAGATGACATTGCTGGAACTCAAAGAGACTTCTGAGGAGTGTGTTAATAGTGGCTTAGAACTGGATTCAAAAGAAATTGGCTGGACCTCCAGGTCAAGTTATCAGCCTGTACGTCAGGAACTTGGGGTTTATGGTGCCTCATACACCACATAGCTTGATGTCCGGTACACGTTGCACAGCATCTACGGTACTTCCTCTTGTGTACAATCTAACTACATTTCTAAAAAGAGTGGGTTAGGGAGGAATGAGATGGGGAAAGGAGGGAGACCAGATCGTGTCTCCGCTTTTCTCTTTTACTGAAGAAGAACAGGATATTTTAATGCCATCATCATCACAGAGCTGTCTGTGGAGAGGAATGTATTGATTGAAAATGTATTATAACTGTATTGTTACTTTTGAATAAATCTTTTTTGAATAACCTTTTTTTAATAAATAAAAAAAAGGAAAGAGAACAAATAGTGGAGGTTGGTCCATTAGGCCAATGCCCCACTAATCTCAGCCTGCCCTCGGCCAGCCCCCTAGCTATGGGAAGGGTTGTAGCTCAGTAATAAGAGCATCTGCTTTGCATGCAGAAGGTCTCAGGTTCAACCCCAACCCCAGCCTGAAACCCTGGAGATCAGCTGCCAGTTAGAGTAGACATTCCTGAGCTGGATGAACCAATGGTCTGGCTTGGTATAAGGCAGCTTCCTGTATTCCTGTCCTGGTATTCATCCTCCCCCACCCCTATCCAATCTCTGTCTTTTGCAATAGGGGGACCAGCCATCACTGACCAAGGGATCTAACAAGCAGCACTGGCTACTACTGGCTTTCTCAAGGTCAAGCCAGTCATCATGCTCATCATGTAGTGCAGTCCTGTGTACCTGGTTGCTGGTTGGTATGTAGCCAGCATGGAAAAGTGGGGTGGGGAAGCTAGATCAGGACTGTGGGTAGGTATACCATACCTTTGAAGCACATTCCCCCACCTCAAAGAATTCAGGACATTGCCATTTATTAAGGGTAGCAAGGAATTGCAACTCTGAGGAGTAATCTGTAGTGCAGAACCCTAGGGACAGGGGACTCAGCTACACTGGCAAAGAAAAAGCGCTTCATATGCGCTGTATATACATTATAACACTCTGACACCAGATGGGGCTATGGGAGTTCTGTTTTTGCCAATTTCTCTTACAAAGTTTACAACGCATTTAACTGAAACGCTTCTTTGATGTGTCTAGAATCCAGTGAGAGAAAGCCTAATAAGTGAATCCACCCTGCTTCATTGTTAAAGGCTGGGAGGGAAAGGGGTTGTCTACTGTTGGGACAACTTTGTAGCTTCCATTTGGTTGTGAACTTCTTGCCTTGTTCATGTGCCTTGGAATCTTGACTTTCCATGCTTGCTGCTGAGCTTGTGCTGCCATTCACCTGAATAAATATTCCTTCCTTATTTTCAAGTGAGAGTTGCTGTCATGTTTTGGGACAGGAATCCGGCAACCACAGATGTATGACAGGAGGAATGAGCCATTGCCGCCAGCAGCACATTATTCCCACTGCAAATAGGTGGGGTGGATTCTGATCAGGATCACAGTGGGGCCCAAGGCATTTTTGAAATCAAATAATGCAGCCAAAAAATACAATAAAAATTATGTCATCAGGTGATTGACAAACTTTGCTTTTAAGCAGTAACCGTAATAGTAATGTTGTCGTTGTGAAGTATGCTTACTTTTAAAGACCCCCTTCCCCCGAGTACTGCAAATTGCGTTTTTTGTTTGTTTGCAGAAGGCACAACCTGTTTTTTGTGTTTGTTCAGCTTGTGGTTCCTTTGAAGGCTGTAGACAGCTAGGAAGCATTTTTACAATGGCCATCACCTCCCATAAATATATGTCATTGCTTGGGCACTGAGTTAGCAGTTGTGCGGAAACCTCTCTTTCCCCCCAAAAAACTATGTGATGCAAGACTAGAAAATAAAGGCGTCACGTGACCAAGAACCAATTTATTGGTACTGTGCTTCACAAAACAACACTTTCAATTTCAGTACAGGTTTTTGGTGACACAAAAAAGCATGTTGCTTAACCAATCCGAGTTTTTAAATCTTTTTTCGACCCAGTTTTCCTGCCAGCTTTTAAGTTTCGTCAAAGAGGGGAAATTCTAACATAACTTGCATGTAGAATTTGAAGCCTGTGTAGTAATGAACATAACTTTGTGATTGGACAAAAAATAAAGGAAACATACTCTTGTATCGCATGGGGTTGGAATAGATGGCCCTCAGGGTCCCTTCCCACTCCATGATTCTATCCCTATTCCTATGTACAAGAGAAAGCAGGGGAAGGGAATTTCCAGCCTGGGTGTAGATGTGGCCCTCCAGGCCCCTCTGTCTGGCGCTCAAATCTCTTCCTAGGTAACAGCCTCCACTTCTTCACACCTCAAGTATTATTTTGTTTGTTCTGCTTGGGTGGAATCTGTTCTTCAGCTATGAAAACGACTCTTTCTTGTCTGGTTGGAGAACAGGGAAAGGTGTGTGAGTGTGCCTAGGAATCAGCCTACTTCAAAAAGGTAAAATTAACAGTATGTCCATTGCCCACTTTTGCCTCTCGCTCCACCCACCACTGTGTCCCTCTGAAGGCTGCTTAGGAAGGCATGTCGCCCTTGGATTAAAAAGCATTCCCCAGTCCTGCAGTAAAACAGTTGTTGAGGGATTTTATTAGCCCACCTTGGAGCTAATAGCATCCTAAGGTGGAAGGGAACATCAGACAAGTGCAGAGCAGTGGGGCGCTGCTCTTGGCCCTGCTCCCAGTGTTGGGCACCTTGTCTGGCCCCACAATTAGACACCTAGGAGTTACCCTGATTGTCTGTAATGCACCTGCTTGTGTCCATACACATGCTTGTGCCTATGCCAAGGCTCCTCGACTTTTTAGGTCTGGGGGCATATTAGGAAATCTAAGAACCACAAGACAGACAAAAAACTGGCAGAACCTAATAAACAGGCAAAGCACCAATATACACCACAAAACAAATAAAATGCAGACAAAAACGGACAGTGGGTCTTGCTGGGCACCACCAGGGTGTTTAAGGGTGCCATACTGGTGATCTCAGGGCTAAGCTTTCACTCCTCCATTGTCTCCTGAGACAGACGGATGCCAACAAAGGAGTAGCCTTGACAAAGCAATGTCAGTGTAGCCACCCATTTCCCATAGCTGGTTAGATAGATGCTTGCTGAGAAGTTTTTCAGCAGAGCATAAAGTCATTGCTCTCCCTGCTGTTGCCACCTCCAGTCACTTACTCAGTGGCACACCACTCCTGATGTTGGACTCTCCATGCAACTATCATGGCTAACAGCTATTTAATGCCATGATCCTCCACAAACTTGTCTAATCTTACTTTAAAGCCACCATTTCTACTAAATTTAATGGTCACAAAAGCCTCTTGTGATTTATTTGAGAGAGAGCAAATGGAACATTTGTGCAATGCTTTTCTTTGGGAACACTCATTCCAAAACGCTTTGCTGATGTTCCTTCCTGTATCACGTCAAGCTTTCCTTGCCCAAACCATGCAGCTACCCTTCCCATACCCATATCATCACAGATGAAAACTGTTTATCTCTATGATCATATAGGACCAAAATGGCACGGAAGAGTCTATTATTATGCCACAGTGCTATCCATGGTGCTGATCACCACATAACACTATTTAAAACAGCCTTTCTCGACCTTGGGTCCCCAGAGGTTGTTGGACTACAACTCCCAGCATCCCTGACCACTTTTCCAGTTAGCTAGGGATGATGGGGTTTGTAGTCCAACAACATGTGGAGACCTAAGATTGAGAAAGGCTTATTTAAAACAAACATGGCATTGCATTTGGATTTTGGACATTCAGAGTATAATGTAAAAGAACACAACAACTGGGAACATACAGCCCAACCCTACCCATGATCATGCAGAAATAAGACCCGCTAAGTTCAAAGTGATTTATTATTAGGTAAGACTGCACAAGATTGCAGGCATAACATTGGAAATTACTGAGGTGATAGATCAGTTCCAAATCCCCAGCTTGTGTAAAGGAAATCCCTTATAATCCTCTCTGTATTCAGAGGCTTTCTTGTTGACAGCATTGATTTAGCTTCCCTGGAATACTGCAGCCCATTATCAGTTTGGATTATAAAATGGATTCCTTGAATATCAAGGGATGCAACACTGTAGATTCAGCATCACACTAGTATTCAGAGGTCATTAGGGCCATTCCCTTCTGCTTATGTTAGCAAAACTGTGGCTGTTAGCTTTGCCTTTGAAGACTCTTTGGAAAACTCAGTATGCAGCTGCCTGATTAGTAACTGGGATTGGGCATTGCTATCGTATTAAATTCGGCACTTGAGAATTTAAGTAGAGCTATGCTGGATCAGGCCAAAGGACAAATAGTTCAGCATCCTGGTCACACAGTGACCAACCAGATGCCCAAACAGGCCCTGAGGGCAACAGGGCCCTGATGATTTTCAGCAAAGGGTATTCAGGAGCATTCTGCTTCCAGCAGTGGAGGCAGAAATGGCTAGCAACCAAAGTTAGCCTTATTCTCAATCTAATCCTCTTTTAAAGCCATCAGGCACCTACCTGGTCATCTTTCCATCACCCAGCGAAGACCTGTTTATTTCCCAAGTTCTTTATACAGAATTTTAATCTCGTTTATGGATTTACAGTGGTCTTGGTGCTACTGGTTGTCCCCTAGTGCAGGGTTTCCCAAACTTGGATCTCCTGCTGTTTTCAGACTACAATTCCCATCATCCCTGACCTCTGGGCCTGCTAGCTAGGGATGAGGGAGTTGTAGTCCAAAAACAGCTGGAGATCCACATTTGGGAAACCCTACCCTAGTAAGCCTGTTCCTGTTATTGATGGGTGAAGGTTAGGGCTTGACTTACTGCTTTTCTTGCTTGCTTGCTGTAGCACAGGAGTTCATGTTTAGTATGCAGAAGACCCCAAGTTAAATCACTGGCATCTGCAGGTATGAGTAAGAAAGATCCCAGTCTGAGATCATTGGAGAGCCACTGCCAGTCAGTGAAGAGAGCACTGAACAGTTCATAGACACATACATTTAGAAGAGGTCATAGCTTAATTTATGCAATTCGAGAAATGCAGAACAAAGCTGAGGTGCAGGAGGCTAGCAGTTACATGGTCTGGTTTCTCCATAAAAAGTGAGAGAATGGAGGATGCCATTTCCAGATTAAATAAGAGTAGAAGCCTAGGTTGAAAACTAGAGAGAAGAAAAAGTAAAGGCACTGAAAAACCGATGTATTATCAGGGAACCCCACGTGCAGGTCGTATCAAGATACAGGGAACCTGGCAGAGGGCCTTCTCGCTAGTGACGCCTGCCCTGTGGGACACCCTCCTGCCAGCTGTCAAAGAGATAAATAATTTTACAACCTTCCATAGACATCTGAAGGCAGCCCTGTATCAGGAAGATTTTAATGTGTGGTGTATCATGTGTTCTTTTATATTCTGTTGGAAGCCACCCAGAGTGGCTGGGGCCACCCAGTCAGATGGGCAGGTACAAAAAATACAGTGGTGCCCCGCAAGACAAATGCTGAAAAACTTGCTAGACGAAAGGGTTTTGCGTTTTTTGAGTCGTTCCGCAAGACGAATTTCCCTATGGGCTTGCTTCGCAAGACGAAACGTCTTGCAAGTTCTTGCGAGTTTGTTTCCTTTTTCTTAAAGCCGCTAAGCCGTTAAGCCACTAATAGCCATGCTTCGCAAGATGAAAAAACCGCAAGACGAAGAGACTCGTGGAACGGATTAATTTTGTCTTGCGAGGCACCACTGTAAATTATTTTTACTATTATCTCATTATCTTCAAGTACAGTGGTACCTCGGGTTAAGAACTTAATTCGTTCTGGAGGTCCGTTCTTAACCTGAAACTGTTCTTAACCTGAAGCACCACTTTAGCTAATGGGGCCTCCCGCTGCTGCCGCACCACCGGTGCATGATTTCTGTTCTCATCCTGAAGCAAAGTTCTTAACCCAAGGTAATACTTCTGGGTTAGCAGAGTCTGTAACCTGAAGCGTCTGTAACCTGAAGTGTCTGTAACCTGCGGTACCACTGTATTCTGTTTTTACTCTATGAATGTTGCTGCTCAGTATCACAGTCTAAAATCTGACTTCTCAAGCTCATTGAAAGGGGATGAAATCTACTACAGAGTAATGCATACAATCTATGTCAAGCTCAAACAACAATTGCAGTAGGGTTTGACTTTGAGAGGGTTTTAAAAAAACACACACCAGAAAAAACCCACAACCTCTTTCTGTAATGAAATTCCCATGGGGAATTTCTCAGGGGAGAGCATAGCTCAATCTCATTTACTCCAGGGGAATTTCCTTCAAGGTGAATTGACTTTCCTTCATTAAAATCGAGAAATGCTATTAACTATCCATGCTCCCCAACCACCTTTCTCCATTCACAGAGTATAGATTCAATAATAAACACAGCAGCATATTTTCAAAGGGAAGAGATGATGAAATATTTGGGCAGGCAGCATAAGACCAACTTGCAACATTTGTATCATTAGCCAGCCTGCAAGCAGGTTCTGCTTCTGGGCTTTTATTGCTTTCATACGCAACATTTTCTTTTTTAAAAAAATATCCATATTTCTTTCCTGTTTTAGTAAACTTTAGAACTTGTTCCATAGCCTCTTTGTATCTTAACACCCTCATGCTTGATCTGCCTCACTACCTAAAGAGACCCCAGGAAAATTTGGCAGCTAATTGATAATGGGTGGGTATATTATTCATCCTTTGTCTAGTAGCAGCTGTGGATTTTAAAGGGAGAGAGTAGGCATGAGTAGAGGATTCACTCTGTGCTAGGCAGGAACACTATCCCTCTCAGACAGCGTGGAACCTAGCAGGGACGGCTCACCCATAAGGCAAGGCGAGGTGACAGGTTGATCGCCCCCTCCCCCCCCCGCTTTCTCCTTATGTAGATCTTCCCTCACACCTTCTTCCTTGGAGGGGGGTGTGTGCCATTTTGAGACCAACTCAGGTGTTAAAATGTCTTGGGTTAGCTTTGCGACCCAGGGTCACTGGGAGTTGGTCACTAAGGGAGGCCAGCAAAATATGGAAGACTGCAGGTTTCCCTGGTACAGATTCAGCCACAATCATTTGCCCCTCTGCCCCTCTTTTCTTTAAAAATGTTTGTTTTCCAGATATTGAGCCTGTCCACACACTTGGCATCGGGGGGGGGGGGGGAGGTTTCCCTGGTGCACTTTTGTACATAGTGATTTGAGATTGTGCACATATTTGTACGATAACATCACCCAAAGTGGCAGGAGCTATCCATGTACACACAGGTAGACATGCTTTCAAACTAGTGCACAACAAAAATTGTGTTCTCTATTCTGCTCAGTTAGTGTTTCTACAGGCACTAAGATGGAATCTACACACATATAAAAACCGTTACGAAAATGCTTTTTTTAAAAAGCGCTTTTAAAAATGCATTTAATTTTCCATAAGGCTCACCATCGCAGTCTGTGCCACATTGTATATTGCACTTAAAACACACTTAAAACGTTTTATTTGCAGCTGTATAGCTAAGTCCTTTGTGTTACACACACACACACACACAGAGAGAGAGAGAGAGAGAGAGAGAGAGAGAGAGAGTTGTGTTAATATACTGATATACAGAAGATATGGGATGCAGATGGCGCTATGGTCTAAACCACTGAGCCTTGTGGGCTTACTGATCGGAAGGTTGGCGGTTGGAATCTGCACAACAGAGTGAGCTCCATTGCTCTGTCCCAACTCCTGCCAACCTAGCAGTTCGAAAGCATGCCGGTGCAAGTACAGTGGTACCTCGGGTTACATATGCTTCAGGTTACATACACTTCAGGTTACAGACTCCGCTAACCCAGAAATAGTACCTTGGGTTAAGAACTTTGCTTCAGGATGAGAACAGAAATCATGCTCTGGCAGCGCGGCTGCAGCGGGAGGCCCCATTAGCTAAAGTGGTGATTCAGGTTAAGAACAGTTTCAGGTTAAGAACGGATCTCCAGAACGAATTAAGTTCTTAACCTGAGCTACCACTGTAAATAAATAGGTACCACTGCAGCGGGAAGGCAAATGGCATTTCTGTGCACTCTAATTTCTTTCAGGGTGTCCAGTTGCGCCAGAAGTGTTTTAGTCCTGCTGGCCACATGACCTGGGAAGCTGTCTGTGGACAAACGCCGGCTCCCTTGGCCTGAAAGTGAGATGAGTGCCGCAACCCCATAGTCGCCTTTGACTGGACTTAACCATCCAGGGGGCCTTTACCTTTATACAGAAGATGCATAATGGGATGTCAGGGAACTGATATCGGAGCCTGAGGCGGAGGGAAGGCTCTCAAATGATGCTGGAGAAGGGCCAAGCGGGGAGAGAGGCAGTTCAGCAGAGGGGGAAGCAAATCAACGTTACACCAGGGATAAAGGGGGGCAGATGGGGGAATCGGCGAGAGGGCTCCAGGACTCTTCACTGGACACCAGCGGGGAGAGCACGGGTCCTCCGCTACCCACGCCCTCCCTGCGCAGAAGACTCCCGCGCAGTGAGAGGAGGAGGAGACTGGGCGTCAAACAACTTTTATGTTGGAAGAGGTTCAAGAAACGCCCACTGACGGATTCTGTTAGCGACTGAGGCAGCCACGAATTTAAGGGCTGTCCAGACAGAAAGGTTTAACCAGGCAACATAGCCAGGAGAGGCGGCAACTTACGCACGAGCAACCCCATACCATTATATGGGATACGGAGGCAGCTAAGTTACTATGCTGCTTCCTGTTTTGCCTGTTTCGTTCACAAACAAGTTAAACATGAAAAGAGGGAGTGGCCTCAATAGGAAGTCCTTTCTGTGTACACATGTACATAGCAAATGCTTGAGAAGTCCAGGCCTTTTTGTTTTTTCAGCCAGAACTCACTGATACTCAGTTCCTGCAGCTCTCAGGTGAGAGTCATTGCCATTGTTAGAGAACAAGGTAGAGGGTGTTCATGGTGAGTTCTGACACATTTCTTTCTAGAAAAAGAAGTCTATTCTCTGCAGACAATGAATTATAACAATTCCCACAGGATGTGTTTCAGATTGTGTTTCTTTTTCCTTTCTCCTCCTGCGATGAGGCTGCATTTTAATATTTTAATGTTACAATATTTTAATTGTTGTATTTTAATCTTGTTTTTAAGTTGTATTCATTCAACTTGTTTTTATTATTGCTTGTTAGCCGCCCTGAGCCCGGCCTTGGTTGGGGAGGGTGGGTTATAAATAAAAATTAATTATTATTATTATTATTATTATTGACAAATAGTGTGGGATGGGAATGATGCAATGTGCAGGTAAATTCAATGTGCACAGCACCTCAAAAAGGCATTTGATTAATCAAAAACACGCTTTTGATTAAGCAGGGTAACAGCTCAGAAGAGTGAAACAGAACCCAGCAAATGTCCTTTAAATGTCTCTGGTCTTGTTTCCCTGCCTCACTGGCTCTGATGTTGCCTCAGACTAAGCTGAATGCCTAGATATTTCAGATTCATGTCAGAAGAGGCTCAGGCGGGAGAGCCTGACAAGAGAAAGCAGACTTCTTGTCTCCAGGCCCCTGCTAGGGTGAGGAGGAAAAGTTCAGAAGGTAATTCAAAACGGAGAATTGGCAATTTAGTAGAACATGATGGTTCTTTTGTGTGTGTGACAGCTTCCCTGGAGAGCACAGCACAGGTCTTCGTAGAGGCTAAGTGCCCTGCGTTGTAAAAGCTAGGTTTGCAGCAGGTTTGGGTAGAGGAGAGATAATATAGTATGATAGCAATAGTGCTCAGTGCTATAGTACTACTCAGAATGCATACACACCATGCATTTATAGCGCGCGCACACACACACACAAAAAAGAATCCTGGGAACTGTAGTTTACTTCTGGTACAGGACTGCAATTCCCAGCACCCTTGAAAAAATAAAATCCCCAGTCCTTGTGGGTGGGGGATGTGCTTTAAATGTATTTTAAATGTATGGTGCTAATGCGGCAATAATAGCTAGTAACTGCAATAGTTGCTAGAGAATCTTACTGGGATGCAAGTCCTCCATTCCTTTCCGTTCACAGTTCTGGGGTAGCAAAATATACATGCCAACCCATTATTAGCTAATGGCATGGTTATAATTTAGGGCTGCATACTGTAAGAGGAAGACAGTGGTGGCCACTTGCTACTCAAGAGCAGTTATGGCTCACCCTTAAAGACCAATGGACTTCACGGTCATTCGCTTTATGGTCAAGAGATGTCAAACTAGTCCTCCAAATAACTTCCCCCGTTATCTGTTATTGCTTTTGTTTGCATGTTTATTTCATGCCTTCTGCAGGACTGCTTGCCTTGGGATGGTTTGCCTCAAAGGAACAACCTTATTATTACCATGTCAAGGTTACCCCACAGTGTTTCATGGGCCTGCTGACATTCAAACCTGGATCTGACCCACCTAAGAACTTGTCCAAACTTCTGCTTGCCCTGTGCCTAGAAAGCACAGGTCCGAGCAGTTTCCCATTTCCCCTGTGCTTTCTAGGCAAGAGTCTGAGCAGTTTTACCTTTGCCGCATCATTTCCCCTGGAAAACCCACTCTTTAGTGCTAAATCTTCAGTCCGGGGGAAACCCAATTGATATTTGCTCCAATTCAGCAGTAAACAGCGGGTTTTCCCCGAAGGGAAAGTGACAGGGCAAATGGAAGTGAGGATGAGTCTGTAGTGAAACATTCTATTGACTGCACAACACCGGCTCTCAGACCTCATCACAGTATACACAAATACACAGAGTCATAGAATCATATAATTGTAAAGTTGGAAGGGACCACAAGGGTCATCTAGTACAGGGATCTTTTTGACCAATATGGGGCTTGAACCCACGACCCTGAAGTTAAGAGTCTCATGCTCTACCAAAGTGCCTGCAGAACAGACACAGCCGTTGCCCCCCATTTTTCAGTTGCTTTATCATTCTTGAGTGTATAACAGACTCATAGTTCTGAATCTGATGTCTGGTCTGCTTTTCCAGAAAGCCTTCTATGTACCAAGTCCACATCACCAAACAAAGCAGACAAAGGCTTTGGGGTCAAACACAATCAGCCAGCATGCTAAGTCAACAGCTGACCTTTTTCTGCACAACCTTTCCATCTCTATTTTATTTTTTAAAGCCTTCCCCCCCCCCCCACACCTCTGGCTCAGATTGCTAAGCCCTGTAGGGATGTTAAGAAGCGTTTTTCTGTGTGTCACGGGGGGGGGGGAGGCACTTGGGCTGAAACTGATTCATTTTCCTTCTGCTGGAAAACAGCCAGGTCTTATAAATGGCAAAGGATGGTTTTAGGATTGCCTACACAATATCACTGTGAAGCTTTCCTGTTGTAAGTCTGCATGGAGAAGGAGTGTCTGTGTGATGTTACCATAATCAGCACAGAGGAAAGTCACACCCCAAACCCAAAGCATGTGTGGAAAACCTACATTGCAGTATTATTAGAATTACTAATCCAATTTATTCATATAACACCTTTTTCTCTCCCAAAACTTCCCCCAAATGCTGAACAGCAGGGCTTTTTGCCAGCCAGAATTTGCCAGAACTCAGTTCCTGCACCTCTCAGGTGGGCACCGTTGCCATTATAAGAGAACAAGGAAGGTGTTCATGGTGAGTTCCAACACCTCTTTCTCTAGAAAAACAGCTCTGCTGAACAGCCTATTAAAATTACCATAGAGTACAACAAAATGTCCATAGCAAGCAAAAACATGTAACTGATGAATCCTAACTATAGGAAGTCAGCAAAGTCTAGGCTGGAATTACCGTAGATACTCTATTTCAAATTCCAAGCATGAGTCCCTGACTGAGCAATCAGATTAGTGTGGGTCCGAGTTTTAAGGATTTGGAACTAGGCCACATAACTGTAATGAACAGAGTTTTGAATTAGTCTAACCATTACCTTGCCCCACACCAACACGGGCCTTTTGGGAGACCTATGCTGCTGTATGTTTTGTTAACTGAGTCAAGAGGGACTCAGTATCTCTGCCTCAGTGAGCATGAGGAATTTACACCAGTGTAGGTATAGCTGAACCCTGGCTGATCTAGGAAAGCCCAAGATTTGCCAAATCCAAACTCTCTTATCCCAGCGGATCTTGGATTTCAATTGTGCTGCAAATCAGCAAAATCTCATCTTGGGGAGAGAGCCAAAGGAAAAGTTTCAGAAGCTAGGGGATTAAAGGGTGCTTCACCAACTTTCCATCCCCCCCACAGTTATCAAACAAATGAAACAAACAGTCTGGGGGTGGGGATAATTTCGGACACCTGCTGGTCTGGCTTTCCAGGACGGGAGGCAAATGATACAAAATAAACATTAGCTGAGCGAATTAGGGATGCAGGCTTTAGGCGGCCATCCTCAACACACTACTAGGGAGTAAGTTCCACAGCACACACTACTTCTTGGTCCCTACTTTTTAGTACCATTTATCACACAATCCCTCCCTTCCAACAACATGCAATCACTTCAGTGCACTCTTGGATCCCCCACTCCCTCAACCCATATCATACACTACCCAACTGCTTGGTAAAGGTAAATGTAAAGGGACCCCTGACCATTAGGTCCAATGATGACCGACTCTGGGGTTGCGGCGCTCATCTCGCTTTATTGGCCGAGGGAGCCGGCGTACAGCTTCAGGGTCATGTGGCCAGCATGACTAAGCCACTTCTGGCAAACCAGAGCAGCGCACGGAAACGCCGTTTACCTTCCCGCCAGAGCGGTACCTATTTATCTACTTGCACTTTGACGTGCTTGTGAACTGCTAGGTTGGCAGGAGCAGGGACCGAGCAACAGGAGCTCACCCCGTCGCAGGGATTCGAACCGCCAACCTTCTGATTAGCAAGTCCTGGGCTCTGTGGTTTAACCCACAGTGCCACCCGTGTCCCAACTGCTTGGTACCAGCCAACAAATCATCAACAGGTTGTCAGTGGATAGAGAAAAGTTTTTCTCCCTCTCTTATAACGCTAGACCTCATGAACTTCCAGTGAAGCTGTAGGATTCAGAACAGGCAAAAGGGGGGGGGGACCCTTATTCATGCAGTACAAAAACTGTGGAACTCACTTCCACAAGAGGCAGGGATGGTCACCAACTTGGATGGCTTTAGAAGACAATTGGACAAATCCATGGAGGAGAAAGTCATCAATAGCTACTAGCCTGGATGTCTGTGCTCTGCCTCTATAGTCAGAGGTAGCAATGCTTCTGAATACCAGTTGCTGAAAACCACAGGAGCAGAGAGAGCCAATGTGGTGTAGAGCTTAAGAGTGGTGGACTTGTAATCTGGTGAACTGGGTTCGTGTCTCCGCTCCTCCACATGCAGCTGCTGGGTGACCTTGGGCTAGTCAAACTTCTTTGAAGTCTATCAACCTCACTCACCTCACAGAGTGTTTGTTGTGGGGGAGGAAGGGAAGGAGAATGTTAGTCGCTTTGAGACTCCTTCGGGTAGTGATAAAGCGGGATATCAAATCCAAACTCTTCTTCTTCTTCTTCTTCTTCTTCTTCTTCTTCTTCTTCTTCTTCTTCTTCTTCTTCTTCTGCTCAGATCCTGCTAGAGGGTTTTCCAGAGGCATCTAGTTGGTCATTGTGAGAGCAGAATTCTGGAGCAAGCCACTGGCCTTCTCCTAATTGAAGACCCAAACAAACTGAGGTAAGAATGATGCTATCCGGGGCTCTAGGCACTAAATCATAACAAACACCCACACCAACACATCTATCTCCCCACCCTCTCACTTAGGGCCACAATGACTCCTCTCCTAACTTCTCCTCAGGACAGAACTCTTTAGCACCAAACTTAACTTTACTCACTCCATGCACCTGACTGTCACCTGGGAGCACTATCTTTCCAACCCTTGGGCTCTCAGCTATCACCTGGGAGCTCATATTTTACAACTGATACTTGTGCATCCAGTGCAGAGGTTTCTCCTCCCCCAGATGACTTGTGTATATTTTTAAAAGTTCCCAGCGTTTAAATAAAGCTATTGCTATTTACAACTGCCTGCAGAATTTACAAGTGTGCACCCTGAATCTCTTAAAAGGCTACTTCTGCAGCAGCTGAGCAAGAAATATTTTGCCCTTGATTGATATGCAAATTTCAGCTAAACTAATTGGATTTCACAGCTGCCTCCCAGGATCCCATGTATTATTCATAGAGTTTGATTCTGCGCTATGGAGGATGTTAGAGCTAATAAGCTGGAACCCTGGCAAAATTCAAAACAAAAGAGTCATCACAATCTATATGGCCACACTTGAGTCAGATGACTCTTAATTTCCTACTGGATCAATGCAAAATAACCCATTTCCAATGCATCCGAAATCACAGAGTCATAGTAACCTAGACTTGGAAGGGGCTTAGAGGTAATATAGTTTAACCCCTGCTCAGTGAGGAATCTGTAATGTAGTATGAAATGACAGCATTCTAACAGATAACGAGGCTCTGCTTAAAGTGCCTTCATCAAAGGAGAACCCAGAACCTTCTAAGGCAGTTGGTTTCACTGTTGAACTGTTCTTAGTGTTTGGAAGTTTCATCAATGTTTCATCAAAGTCAGCTTTCTTGCTATTTCCACCTGTTGGCAGTAGTTCTGCCTTCTGGAAAAACAGAGTAGACGCCTGCTCCATCTTTTGTGTAACAGCCCTTCAGATACTTGAAGGTAGCTTTCATGTGTCTACTTTAATCTTCTCCAAAGGCTAAATAATGGTTGTGTCCTGGTTCCTCTGTCCCAAAACAGGCAGACAGAGACTCTTACTTGGAAGTAAGAAAGAGATCATTATTCAGGCAAGGAGCCATGCAGTAGACATAGAGCTCAGGAGTCATGATTCAGGAGGTTAGGAGCAAAGCAAGGCATTAAGGATTGGACGGAAGAATCAGATGTCCATAGGTACTTGTGTTTCACCCACAACCTCAGTTTTTCTTGAGTTAAAAAATGCACACACGTTTGTGGGCGCACATAAAAGCTCTGTGCAAACAGGGAACTTAGACAGGGGCATGTCGACCTAACCTACCTCACAGGGTTATCGTGAAGATAAAATAGGATGAGCTCCGTTCAGAAAGGAGGCTTTTTTTAAAATAGAAGAAAAGTAATTGATAAATATAGTCCAGATCAAACATGATGAAGAAAGATCCTCAAGGTTGAGTGAAGCACAGAAATCATCCATCATGGATACCTGCTGAGCCGCTAGAAGACAAACAGCATTGCCGTTAATGGAAATCGCTCAAATAATAGCACACATATCAACATAGCTGGCATATTATATCAGACCATAATACTTTAGAGACAGGGAACTGTATCTTCATATTGTATACTACGTAAGCTGAGCTCTGAGGAAAGCTGGGTGATGAATCCAAGTAAAAAATGGTCCAAGGAGAGGATACATCACTTGTCCTAAAAGCAGGGATGCAGACAATTTTTATCATCCAAGAGCCTCAGCATTTTTTTAACATAGACACACAGACAGACATATTTGGTGGTGTTAACAACTGCTGAATAATACATAACATCACCTCCTTCTGTTTGATTTCACTATCTTTTCCTTTTCCTATTCAATTTAAGCACATTCAAGCACATGCATTCTCTTAGCAGCTCCTGCTTATCTTTCATCTCTGATTCTTCTCTATGTTCCCATCTTTGGTCTCTGCTGTGGGTTCTTTCTTTCTTGTTAAGCCCCCACCCCACCCCCACCCCAAGTATTTCCCTAGATATCACATCTTTATTCTTTTCCTCCCCCTTATCACACCCTGTCTGTTGCTAGTAAAAAGAAAACAAAAAACATAGTCGCTAAACTTATTCTCCTTCTTTCTCTTTTAAGTGTCCCATTTATTTTGGTGATAGATTTTGTCCTCCTCCAGTTTGTAATTTTATTATACAGACCTTGGGAGTCATAGTGGATAACTTGATGAAGGTGTTGACCCAGTGTGTGGCAGCTATGAAGAAGTCAAATTCCATGCTAGGGATCATTAGGAAAGGAATTGAAAATAAAACCTGCTGCTATCATAATGCTGTTGCACCAGTTTATGGCGTGACTGTGTTTGGTATACTGTGTACAGTTTGGGCCTCCAGGCAGATATTTGCAGGGTTGGAAAAGGTTCAGAAAAGGGCAACCAATGATGATCAAGGGGATGGAATGACTCCCCTCTGAGGAAAGGCTACAGCATTTGAGACTTTTTTTAGTTTAGAGGGAGGTGGGAATGAGTAGCAGATGGCATGATATAAGTTTGCAAAATTACACATGGCATGGAGAAATTTGGTAGAGAAAAGTTGTTCTCCCCTCACCTAGCACATCTAATGGATCTGAATGTTGGAAGACTCAGGACAGATAAAAGAAAGTCATCCTTCATAATTTAAACTATAGAACTCGCTCCCAGTGGAGGCAGTGATGGTCAACAACTTGTATGGCTTTAAAAGAGGACTGGACAAATTAATGAAGGACAAGGCTATCAATGGCCACGAGCTCTGCCTTCATGGTCAGAGGTGGTGATGCTCCTGACTACCAGTTGCTGATCAAGTCCAGCTTGGGGATTTCTCCCAGGCCTCTGGTTGGCTATTGTGAGAACAGGAAGCTGGACTAGATGAACCATTGGCCTGATCCAGAAGGCTCTTCTCATGTTCTTTTTCCTAGTTTTCTATCTGTTTGAAATTAGGATGCAGCTGCCCTTTGGCCTCCCGTCCCAAATAAACTGCCCTTTTCAGCAAGCATCCCACCTGGCAATGGTGAGAAAGCATCTCCCCCTCCACTGGCTTGGCCAATTGCCATTTGGCGCCACCATAGCTTGCCTCAACGACATGCCCAATAGGTTGCAATGGGGAGGGGAGGCAGAGGAGCCCCCTCCATCAGCCTGGCAGCAGCTAACTCCCACTTGGCTCCTCTCTTTCCAGAACAGCTTCTCTCTCAGTGGTCATTCAGCTGCATTGCTTCAGAGGTCAAGGCCAAACAGCCCTGCCCATTGGCCTGTCAGAGATCCAGTGCTACTTGGCTTCTCCCTTAGGCAGAGGGGAGTGACTGGCCAAAGCCAGAGTTTCATGGCTGAGTGGAGATTTGAACTCAGATCTCCCATACCCTAGTCCAGCATTCTAACCACTACACCACACTCCTTTCCTTTCCTCCCTAATGCATTTTATGTCTATCTTTATGTTGTAAGCCTGTGGGAAGGACAGCTCTTGTTTCAAACGTATATACAGTGCCTCAGTTTGTAAATGCTTTATGCTACTCTGGAATACAGGACCTAATATATCCTGCGTATCCCTTGCCCATTGCTCTGGGGGCATCATTCCCCAAATGCTACCTCCTCATCTGTTCTGCTGTGGAAAATTACTGGAAGAGAAATTGTATGATCCATTGCCACTTTCTATCCCTTGCATGCCAGAAAATGCATTTGAATTCCCGTCACCGACCCAGCTGTACAAAACAGAAATGAAAATTGGGATTTACTTATACATTGATAGAAAACGAGAAGAAGATGTATTAAAACATAGGAAGGTCCACAGCCTGGCATACGAGCCTTGGAGTTAATTTAGTGCCATTTAATCACAGTCCCTGGCCTTAATGGGATAAAAATGGAAAGTATAAACGCAGGACAATTAAGCGTGGTGCATAGGCCATCGCGAAATCTTAATCGCGCTTAATGATATATATTTGTCATCCAGACTGAAACAGGTTTAGAAAGTTGGGGTTTTTTTTTAAACAAAGATGTTTTATAGCACTGAGCTTTAGTGCCAACCTCTTAACTGCTGCTGTAATTTCTAAATTTCCCATGGGAAAGAAGTAGTGTATGAAAGAAGCCATTAGCATGGAAAAGAAACTCATTCACATTTTGCCACAGGTGGAGATGGCAGTGCTTATAATAGGAGACACACTGATTTCCGTATGGGGGAGGTGCTTAGCCAATTACAGGTATGAATGTAAGAATAGCCTGCTGGATTGGACCAATTCTAGTTCAGAATCCTGTCCTCACAGGAGCCAACCAGACACCTGCAGGAAACCTGTAAGCAAGTACTTTTAAACATTTTGTTGGGGATAATTCAGACTAAAAATTCCCTGGTGTCAAAAGGTCATTTATGTATGCCACTCCTGCGGCCTGTGTTTAGCCCCAAAATGGAAAATGAGCAAGGTCCCAACTAAAGAAGAATGGCAGCTTAAGCTGATGAATATGCGCAGCTTGCAGACTTAACATATAGAATAAGAGAACAAGAAGAACATACGTTTAGAGAAGAGTGGAAAATGTTTATTGAATATATTGGGGGGGGGGAATTGTGTATACCTGAAAATGTTGGCAGCATTAAGATAAATTCAACAGTGTAAATAAGTTTTGATGGATACAATAATGGAATACTGAATGGTTTAGTTTTTGTAAAATATGCAGGGATTTATGATATGCAAAAAGAACCATGGAAAGAGAAGAAGAAAAGTCATTGATATTTTAAGGATGTTTAAATGAGTATTTTAAATTGTAAAACAGAAAATTTAGATATTAAATCTTTTGATCACCAAGAGTCACCATGTCACTTTCATTTTATTCTCCCCCTCCTCCCCCGCACAAAATGCAAAGCAGGGTTGGGCTGATCGCCAAATACTGTTGAACTCCATCAATCCTAGGCAGCATACCTGCTGGTCAGAAATGCTAGGAGCTGTAGTCCAGTAACATAAGGAGGGATGAGTTTTGTGGGAAGGAAAACCAAATTTATCATGTATTTTCAGAAGGCCCAGCCTTAAGTTGTGCATGTTATCTTTCCTTTCCTATCTCAAGTTCTCCTTTCCTTTCTGAAGACGCATCTGGCAAGGCCTAGCTGGGAAAGGGGGCAAGTAGGCCTTCACTGGGACCTGGGCAATGAGAGACAACCAGGCTTCTAGTGTTATGTATATGTCATCACCAGTCACCCCATTCAGTTGTTGCTCCAGACAGTTTTTATATGGGGGGTGGGCAGGAAAATTGTCCTTACAAAAAGGATAATGAAATCTTTGGATTAGCAAAGATGCAGGCTATAAAATCTCCTTTCAGAGAGATTCGGTTCACTTACAGCATTTGCTGAACTGAGAGCCAATCCACATGGCTCTTTCTTCTCTTGTTCCAGGATGCACAACGGAAAAAGCCTGAGAAGGGGCGGGGAGCAGAGCCTGCTGAGAGTCATGGGTTCCCTCAGAGGATCCTGGGAACTGCAGTGTGCTAAAGGTGCTGAGAGTTGTTAGGAGACTCCTGTTCTCCTTCCAGTTCCCAAAGGGGTTTAACAAACTTTCTTCCCAGGGAACTCCAGCAAATTTAGCTCTGAGAGGCAAATGGGTTTGCTAACAACTCTGTAAACAGCACCCTTAACAAGCTGCATCTCATGGCTCTTTAAATGTGTGTTGTGAACGTGGCCTTTTTGGTTGGTCCATGACAAGCAGATTGTCACTTCGTGACAACAACACAGAAGTGGGGCTCCTTGGTGATAGCATATCCACGTCCTTTGGATAATTAGTGAGGACAAAACAGTAATCACCATTCATTGCTTCTCAAAAATGTAAATGTTTACCCAAGTTGCATTGGACACCCTTAAATTTTTTATTTTTGTTTTGTATTTTGCTCAGCTGTATCGGTGGCACATGTCTGTGTTTCAATCTTGCTTTATAGCCTGTTTTTTTAAAAATGGTTTTATTTAATGTTGTTTGCATTTCCACTGTCATTATGGTATTTTCATTGCACACTGCTCTGAGATTTAAAAATAATTATATTTAGCGAAATAAATTGTTAATACACAAACAAACACACCCACACACACTTAAGCTGCTGTTCCACCTGTGATGGAAAAGCTATTGGTGCTGTCTATATTCCTCTGTGGGTGGAAAAGCAACTGGGGAAGGGAAATTTTCAGATCCAAAATAATCAGAGGGAAAGGGTTGTGCATTCAGTCCCTTCTTCCACTTCCAATTGGAGTTTTTCTTACTTTTTAGCCATTGAGAGATTGCTACCTATGTCTGTTAACATCTAGTTTGACCCTCATCCACTGCACTAATTCGCTGTTGCTTAACTCTGATGGAGGGTGTAACTGTTGTGATTTAACCGAGGGGCCATAATTCAGTGGTAGAACATCAGCTTTGCATGTGGAAGTCCCCAGATTTGATCCCTGGCATCCTCAGACAGGGCTGGAATATAATTCTGTCTGAAATCCTGGTGGGCTGCTGCCACTCACTGTAGACAATACTGACTTTGGTGGACCCAAGGTCTGACCTGCGATAAAGCAGCTTCTTTGGATTATCTTTTGTACTTGTTACCTTTTGCTCCCATTCTGGCTCTGGTTCTTAGAGACAACAGCCACTCTCTTAGTCTGACGCTATTTCAAAACCTGCAATGGGAAGGAAATGACCCTCATAAAACTTTTATGTTGCTCATTACCTTCAAAACTCATTTAGAGAATTGAACAGTCCGTGTGAATCCTCTGTCACAAGCCCAAAGTAGCAACTGCAGCTTTATCCATCACAAAGACATTATCTGGGCAAGAGCCAAGCCCATCAGAAGTGATGTCACATATAAATTCTACACCAAACAGATGCAACTTAGAAAGGTAGCATATATTGTCTTAACTCCAGAAAGCATTCAAACTCCCAGCTGAGAAGACTTTCACCTTCTTCCAGTAAAACCAGAGGGGAGAGGATACTTGTGGCCCTCTAAGTCTTGCTGAAGTACAACTCCAATTATCCCTGATCCCTGGCCGGTTATGCTGGGTGCTAGAGTCCAGTAGCATCTAGAGGGTCACTGGTTCCATATCCATGCCACACAAGCAAAGTTGCAGTGGTCTGGGGTTGCGAGCATTCAAAGATGCATTACTGTTTCTGCAGCATGGTCTCCAATGCCCTGGAGCCACCCAGTCAGCTTGAAAGGGGAGCTTACCTTTTGTGCTGATTGGAGCCAATCAGAGTGAAAGGAGGTGAGTCGGCCACTGAGGATTGGTTCCTAGGGTCACTCTGGAGAAGGTGTGCAGCATGATGGAGCGGTTGTTCTATATGCTCCGAAGAATTTTAAGACCACTGGCAACACAAGGTGCTTCAGTTTCCAGGGAATGGTGTGCAAGTTCTGTTCTGTACAATGGAACTTCAAGGAAAACACAACTGAAGCCCCTCCAAAATAAGATATTAGAGCACTCCAAATCATTTACCCTTGCAGGAACACAGAAAATAGATCTAGCTGAGAGGCAGCACATGGAGAGACACACTGATCGTTGCAATACATCTCTAACTGTTGTTGTATAATTATAAAATAATCAAGAAGGGTGTGTGACTGAGGTGGCATGGTTGTGATTATCGAGGGCACAGGAAACTCCGGCCCTCCAGATGTTTGGGACTACAATTCCCATCATCCCACTGGTCCTGTTAGCTAGGGATGATGGGAATTGTAGTCCCAAACATCTGAAGGGCCGGAGTTTGCCTATGCCTGGGCTACAATGACCCTCAGGGTCCCTTCCAGCTCTATGATTCTATGATGGGAGCCTTCATAGAGCCTGAATCTGTTGCTGCGCTACTTTGTGGTGCATAAAGGAGCATTTTCTTCTTGGTCAGTCCTGAGTCTGTTGTCAGTTCCTTTCGCTGGGTGTCCCTACCCCTGACTAAAATTCCGTTGCTCAGCTTTTAGGAAATTGTAAATGCTAGAGGTGTTCAGAGTTGGATTAACCAAGAAGTCAAATAATCTAGAGCAGCAGTCTTAAACATTTTCACACCTGGGACATGCCTTTACCCTAAACATGCATTATGGGACCCGATTCTTGATTTCTGTGCAGGGTGGTAGTGCTGCTGGACCTTACAAGTTGAAAACCAGCTCTCCAGAATAACTGTCAATTTACACCCAGGAAGACACTTTCATTTTATTTTATTAATTGCCACACATCATCTCTTTTTCTGCACTCTTCTTCTTACTCTGAATATGTATTCATCACTTCACACACCCAAGGGTATGCCAAAGCATTTCGCAGTAATAAATTCAAAATGCATTAAGAAGTTCAATAAAACAATGCAAAGTACTAAAAGTGTTCATCAAAGGGGGGCGGGAATCAGACCTCAGTCAGCAAAAAACATACATACCTTCCACACAGCCTAAACCCCAACAGCCTGACCACCAGTGCTATCCAAATACCTGAGAGAATAATATGTCTCTGCTTGGCACTGCAAGATTGGCAAAGTTAATGCCAGTCCAGCTTCCTAGGGAGATCATTCTGCAAGTTGGGGGTGGGGGAGTTTGCTACCACAGAAAAGGCCAATTTTCATGTTACCACCCTCTGAGCACCCTTGGAAGGAGATTCACAGAGAGGGTCAGATGCCAATCCCAGGGTCTGAGTATGTTTGTACGTGGAACGGCAATGGCCTGTGCAAAAAGGTCTCCCTCCAAATGGTGGTTGTACCAGTGGCAAAGTGTGGGTTGCGAGCGCACAGAGCGGGAGTGGGAGGGAGGAAAATGGGCAGAGTACACAGGCACATTCAATTGCCTAATAGTGTCTGTGTCACCCAGGAGACTGCAGCCACAGAAACAAGAAAAGAGGAGTTGTTCTGTTGTCTGGAGATGTCACGTACTGCTTCGCCTGGAGAAGCTTTTTTCAGTAGAGACCAGCTACAGAAGCACGCAGCTGTATTGAGGCAGCACAGGGTGTTCAAGTTTTGCTAACAATGTTGTGTCCAAGGCAACCGCTCCTCTGCTTTCCCCATGCTATGCCAATGGTTGATAACTCTGGTATGAAACCACCTTAAAAACCCAGCCTTCTCCTTATGCAAGAACTATGGAAAGGTTTACACTATACATTTAAAGCACATTCTGTGCATTTTCAAAGCACATGGCTTCCCCCGCAAAGAATGCTGGGGACCGGACCAGTTTTCCCCTCACAGGGGCTACCATTTCCCTTGCCTACTGTTCCCATGATTCTTTTTGGTGATGTCATCTGCTTTAGACGTGTGTTGAATGGGCATTCAATGTTTGGTGTTCTTCTGCTCTATCTTTCCCATTGATTTCAGTATTTTGCAGAGCAGACGCCTTCGAGAATGCTGCTTCTAAACTGCTCTACAAATTAATCTGTGTCATTTTCTGCCCTGGCGCAAGGCAATTTTATTTGTAATTAATATGGCTCATCCCTCAAGCAACAGTTCTCTGCAACTCAGTTAACAAACTCTTTGGAACAGCAAAAAATAAAAAAGGCAGACAAATATTTGATGGCGTTGGTTGAAGCAATGCTCATATAAGGAGTCAGCGAAATCAAAGCTGACGTTGTCTTAGGAATGAGGTTTCACCTTTGGCTGTCTGAAACATTAGCTGCTGACACATCAGAAGAAAAAAGTGATGGTAGACCTTTAAGGTCATACTTCATAGGAAGAGGAGGAGAGCGAGAGGGAAAGAATTATGCTTTTTAAATATGACAGATGCATAACTCAAGGAACAGCAAAAGCATTGCAGCTCGGCCATTGGATCTTTTTGGGGGGGTGGGGTGGGGTGGGGGGATATTCATATAGTTCCAACAAACACCATGAATTACAGAGGAAAGAAATGAGCCTACAATCTCCACTCTGATCTCTGATCCCTTCTGGAAGGGATCTTATGGAAGAGATATTGTTCCAAATATGTGAATAGGAGATGAGATAGCAAATGGTTCGACACCACATTATGACCATGGTAAAGAACATACAAAGCACAGGAATAGTTACAGTGGCCTTTAGCCAGCCTGGAGGGGTGGGGAGGAATCAGCCTAATTTGGTAATTATTTAACTCTGCACTTTCTATGAACTGTAATAAATGTTGTGCATATACACAATGAATCACTGAGCTGGTGCAGAGTAGTAGCTAAGAATGTGAGGTTTGAAGTTCCTAGCTCAAAAATAATCTCAGCTGTGGATACAGTGGTTGGACTTAAGCAAGCAACTATCTTGATCCTATGCCTATTGATTTGTAAATATGTCACACTGTGTTCAGCTGGACGTACTCTCAAGAAATTGGTCACCTGGGGATAATAACACTGACCTACCATACAGGGCTGCTGTAAGGGGAAGGGCTGTAGTTCAGTGGCAGAGCATCTGGTTGGCATACACAAGGTCCCAGGTTCAATCCCTGGTGTCTCCAGGTAAGGCTGGAATGTCCACTGCCTGAAATGCTGGAGAGCTGCCGCCAGTCAGTGTGGACAGTACTGAACTAGATGGACTGATGGTATGAATTGATAGAAGCTTCCTATATGCCCAAGGAGCCCTGAAATAATGTTAGTGCAAGATGGCTTAGCAATGTAAAAATGAAGGCTAAGCTGGTTTTTCCAGATGAGGTATCTGCTGGGAGAGACACTGTTAAGAAGAACAAAGGTGTTGATGACCAATCATCAGCTGCAACCCTAAATCTGAGTAACCTGATGATATGGCATGAATGTCACTGCACTAGTTGAGACAGAGATACACCTGTGGTACACAATGCTTACACTCTCAACAGCTCCCCCAGGGCAAGGGCAGCCCAGCCCATTCTGCCACCTGAGGCGAAACAGGAAGGTGTTGCCTTGTGAGTTGCCACCCCGCCAAAGCACTGAGGTTGCACAGCAGCTCCTTCCAGGGTCTGGTGAGTGCAACCTTCCTGAGACCCAAGCAGCGGCAGAACTACATTTTGGGGGCCCTGAAACTTGAACTGTCCTGGGGACCCCTTTGCAAGCAGTAGTGAGGCCTGGGCAACCACTCTTGTCTTCTTCAATGGGGTTGTTCCATGGCTGATCACCACACTTTGCCACATCTGTGCTACTGACTGTCAAACTTTGGGATTGTTGAAATATATACAACACAAAATGAATCAGTTTCACTCAATTCAGTGTGACTCCAATTGGGGCTACTAGACCCAAAAATGTTAAGCAAGTTGCTTCTGGGGCCCCTCTGAGATCAGAGGCCCGGAAGCTTAAGCTTTCATTAGTTTCAAAGATCTGCTCCGGACACATGTGAGGCACTCCCATGAAATTTTGCAGGGCTCTCATGAAATCTCACTGGAACCCAACCCAACCACTTTTCCTTGCTTCTTTGGACATGCTACTTGGATTCCACTGCTTGAAGTGGCTGCGTCAGTCTACCTCCTGGAAGCGCCAGCAACTTGAACATTTTGCTTAGAGTAAAGCCTTTTGCCTAGCCATACAGTTGTGCTAAGAGCAGGCCCCTTGTTACAGTAAAGCAGGTGTGAGGGACCTTTGGCCTTCCAGATATTGCTGAACTACAACCTCCACCATCCCTGGCCATTGGCCATTCTTGCTGGGGCTGATGGGAGTTGTAGTTCAGCAACATCTGATGGGCCAAAGGTCTCCCAAAGAGCAGTTTTGGGGGAGAAAGTGATATGATAAAGCCACGGGTGCCCAGTGAAGAAAGTGAATAAGGCACAACATTCAGCTTCATATATGTGTCCATCTGGGCTGCTGCCAGCATCTAAATTTATCACCATACCACAACTGAGCCCATTTTCATTCATCAAGCTCTCTTTTGTCTCTTCATATCATTGTTGAAATGGCTTCCATAGCAAGCCATCTGCAATACTTTTGTTTTTCTCTAATTACCTTTGGATTATTAAATCATCCTTTGCTTCCAATATCTGTTGACAGACATTGATACTGCCCGCGAGCTTGCTTTTAATAATAATTAAACCTCTCACAGAATTGAGTGTAAGTGCACACTTTCTGTGTTTTGTATCCCTTCCTAGATAAGCCAGCTTTCATTAAAAAGTATATATTAAACATCATTTATATCTTAGGAACATGTATTCTTATAATTCTATCTTTTTTAAAATGTATTTTTATTAAAGATTTTCTTGATTTACAAAGGTATGTGCAATGTCTCTCCTATTTTTTTCCATGTAACTTTTTTTTTTTTTTTACAAATCGGTTTCATTTGTTTAGGAAGAATAGGAGGAAAAAGGTGGAGGGGGGGAAAGATGAGTGGGGGTGGGGTCAGGTGGTGATGTTTCTATTTTACTTAATATATGTGGGGTTTTGTGTCAGCGTTGCTTGTGCAGGTTCTCAGCTGCTATGTACTCTTATAATTGAACAGTTTGACATCTAGCATAACCATAGAACAATTTTGGATTTCTTAAAAGGTAGTAAATAGGTAAAATAAATATTATATTAAAGGCAAGTGATTAAATAATGTAATAATTGCTACTGTTTATCCTGCAGTAATACACAAAGGAAAATTACAAAAGTGGGGAAGACAAATGAAGGCTTGGAATCCAAACTTAAGTATTCATTATTCCTATATCTAATAGCAAACATGTGACACCTCCAGGCTGTCAGTATTTTGTGCGAAGGATTCGACCACACGTTGGGGAATTTTGGTTTGTGCAATTACAGCAGATTAAAGTGTTCAGTCATGCTACTGCAACACCCCCCCCCCTTTTAAAGCAACAGGTTTTTGCAGGTAGGAAAGTGATGGGGAAATGCTTTGAAAGATGTGGCATGAATTAATGATTAACAGGAAGATGTATAACCACCTCCATAAGCAAATCAGGATGAGTGCAGTTTTGCATAACCTGCCTGCAGACAAATCTATAAAGACCAGATATAGTCTGTCTTTCATGTAAGCTTTGTGCAAATGGGGATGAAGATGTAATATAGAGGTCATCTGAAGATCATCAGGACAGCAAAAATGGGCAAAACTGACAGACAAGGTTGTGATTTCTGCAGACTTAAGAGTGGTGACTCCTCATGTATTCAGAGTGCTCGTTCATTTGCAAATTTTTTTAAAAAAAAAAACAGCCTGAGAAGGATTCAGCTTGATCCTAGATCTCAAGTAAGCATGGAATGTTGAGGAAGGACACGCGTTGCAGAGAATCAGCACTGATTACTGGTGAGGAACTTCCAGGCCTTCAGATGTTGTTGAATGACAACTCCCATCATCTCTGACCATTGGCCATGCTGGCTGGGGCTGATGGGGGTTGTAGATGAGCAACATCTGGAATGCTCCAGATAGAAGGCTGACCTAACTGGTATTCAAACAACTGGATAGACATGAATAATATTTTCTTGATCAGCTGTGTTTTTAAAACACTGTATAATTTGGTGAGTGGTCGGAGTGCAACGTTTGAAGTGCAGTTTAAATCTCCACCTTTATGTTTATTGTTCTTCACAGTGCCGTTTATCAACAGAATATATTCGCAAGAACTAAAGCAAACTCCATGATCATTAAAACATTCAACATTCACACCCAAATAGCTACATAATGCCATCAGCCGTAAATATTCATAAATGCTAATGGCTACAATCCCTTTTTAATTGCTCAAGACAACTTTAATGAGGTTCTAGCTGGCAGCCAGCCAGATCTGAGGGCCTGCCTTGTGTGTGTGAGTGCAGAAACAATCCATTTAACTAGCAGCAAAAAGACCAAGGGTGCAATCCTTGGGAATAAGCCCCACTGAACATAATGGAACAGTAAAATTAGAAGTGCCACCTGGAGACAGCATTAGGGAATCACAGTTCTTGAGTAAACAGAGCTACTTAAAAATCCCTTGTAAATGTCCTCTGCATGCCTTGACTGAACATACAGAGAGGGAAGTGTGGGATTGAGGTTTTTGCTCCTGTCTCTTACATTGCAATGTACATTGCAAGGCCAGAACATTCTGCATGTGTGGTGTGCTACCAGGTCATAGGTGCCTGCTCCCTGGGGCCCTGGGTGCCCGAGCACCCACAAAATTCCCCCTGAAGGGGACGGGCACCCACAAATTTCAGTGCCAGGGCCATACACGCTGCCCAGGCACCCATGGTCATGGGGCTAGGCTGGCACTCCTATACCAGGTCTACTGGCCTCACTCTTTCCATGCTTTCTGAAGTCCCAAATAAACTGAGGAATCAAAAGAGCCTCGTTATGGGAGACAAGACTGCACCTTTCTGTCCAGGCTCCTGCTCCACCTCACCCTTCACCTGATCACCTCCCCACCTCCCATGATCCTCCACTGGGGTTCTCCAGTCCACATGAAGGTGGGTGGCATCCCTGCTCCCCATCTCCAAAGCAACTTCCCCACCTCCAACTCAGGTTCGCACCACTTAGCCCCTTTCTCTACTCCCTTCTCCTGTGTGAACTCAAACCAGATCCCTACAGGCTTCATGACTTGATATAAGAAGGTATAGATTTCTGCTCCGGACCATATTCATGCAGAGCTGTCTCCATTCTGCTGCAGTTCAGCCTCTGAGAAAATTTTTACATGATTAATTATCATTATGCTATTCAGCACAAGAAAAACAGTGGGAGATGTCCACAATTATGCATTGTTCTTTTCTGTTTTTCTTTTTATTTTGTTAAATTTTAATTGATTTCCTGATGAGTTGAGTGTTACAGAACTCATAATATTTTATATATTTTGCAGTTGTTTTTTTTAAATGTATTTTTATTAAAGATTTCTTGGTTTACAGAAGCATGTGCAATGTCTCTTTTTTACAAATTACATTTTCTACAAATCAGTTTCATTTGTTGAGACATTAGTGTTACATTCGGAAGAAAAGGGGGAAAGAGGTGGAGGGGGGATTAGTGAGTGGGGGTGAGGTCAGGTGGTGATGTTTCTATTTTACTTAATGTATGTGTGGGGGTTTGTGTCAGAGTCGCTTGTTCAGGTTCTCTTTGCTATTCGCTTGTGTTCCTTTGGTGTTGAGAGGTTGGGGGTTGGCCCTAGGATTTGCTTGTTCATTTGTGATTGGCTGTGGTGAACTTTGTTTTCATGTATGTGTGGGGTGGGTGGGTGGGTGCTTTGGATCAGGTTAGCCATATTGATTTGTATGCTGTGGGTGGATTCTTGTCGTTGTCTTGTTGGGCTGTGTGTGTGATAAAGGGGAGCCATACCAGGGTGAAGGCGTCTTCTTCTATTTGTCCCCGTGTCAGTTTCAGTTTATTGGTTAATTTTTCTAGTAAGGCTGTTTCCCATACTATTTGGTACCGTTGGTCCATGCTTACACCTGACAAGTCTTTCCAGTGTCTGGCTATGATGTTTCTGGCTGCTGAGAGTAGGGTAGGTGGTTTATGAGTTCTTTGTGATGTGAGTGGGCATTATTATCCTGGAAGATGTTTAGTAGGGCCCGTTCTGGGGTTATTTCTAATAACTGCTTAGTTATGTTGCATATTTCTTTT